CCACACATATTGTTAATGGCAGCCACTCTTGCTATTTACCAAAGCTTGCACATATCCATCCAGTTTTATGCTCCTGTACAGTGCAAAATCAAGCTGTTAGCAAATGCATTACAAGTAGAAAAAAAAAAACAGTGAAAGGTGTATCCAGTAATAACAAGTTTTTAATAAGACTTTATTTTTTTTGAAACTTTGACTGGAATATCTATGTAAGAATGTTGCAGAAAAAAAGCAGAAAAAAGTAGGCCAAATTGCTCCCTAAGAACTATTTACATTAAGGTAAGAAAGCAGAAGTTAATTTATCTTAAAGAGATTTCTTTCTCCTTTGAATTTTTGGATGAAATGATTTTTATAGTCTCAGGTCTTGCACAAAGACTGACAAAGCATGGAACATTAAATGTGATGTTTAGATAAACTCCCACATTCTACCTGAGCTGCTTCTCAATCTGTATTTGCATTGAGATACATTAATCAGCACTTCATATTAACACATTCAATCAAGTGACGGAAGACGCACAGGTGGAACTAATAACATTATGGGGTGTTCATGCAATAAATCACTGCAGTGAGCCATCGTGCAAAATAACTCATTCTGACAGTTTTTTTTATTAACCACTTCCAGAGATAATATGGCTAAATGTCTGGAAAGAAGCTATTTTGTCTTGTCAGTAGATCTCCTTCTCTGTTGAATGGGAATGTTGTCCATATAACAGGATTTGTGCATATTTATAACCGAGTTTGTGTTTCATTTGTCAATTCTCAACATCAGAATCAGCACAGAATCATCTATATAAAGGTTTTCATGTCTTCCTCCTATCTTTAAACTCCAAATCAATCTCAAGTGCAGTTCTTTCTTTTACCAATTTATAATTGCTCTTTTTTTATTTGCATTTATTATCTTACTACTCTTTTATTTCTGTTTTAGATATTTAACTAATTTTAAGTTTTTGCAAATTTTTTAAAGCATTTTAAGGTTTTTCTTTCATTTTCTGTTTCGGGTGGAGACTGTTATTGTGCAAGACTTCATTATAAAGTTGAATTTACTTTGTTTTATGATTCTTACTCTATTCTTATTACCAATACAAAGATCTGCAATATCATATGAAAAGCTCAGAATAGTTCCCATTCCAAGGTTCATTAGGATGGAAAATGTTGAAAACTTCAATTCAGTACAGGAAAACACAAAATTTCAGAATATTATAAATCCTTGTACACATACTTTATTTTTGTGAATCTGGACTTTATTTCTTTATTTCTAAAAAAGACATGAACAACAGTTCATTGAAACCGAATGCTTTTTGCATATAGGTATCACTGCAAATTTATACAGTACAATATCACATATGTTTTAGAAACGAAAATGAAAAAATTAAGGACAGCTGAAATTAAAAAAAAAAATCACACTGTTTTATGAAAATACTGCCAGCAGGCTTTTGCCTTGGTTTAGCACAAAAACTCAAGTGCCATCTTCAGAGCTCACTAATTAACACTTTCTTATCTCCTGTGCTAAATCTGCACAAAAAGCAAAGTGTAAAAAGCTGTTCCTGCATGACTTACAGTGACAACAAGAATAGTGAGCTGCAGCATGTACCGAAAATGTTTAATTGGTGGGTATGTACTGGATCCTCCATCTCCCAGCTCCAAAACAGTTTCTCAAAATGTTCGACTTTTCTGCAAACTGTCATTTTCTTAATTGTAACTGGCATAAAGCTTGAATGTCTCCTTCCAAATAAGATGTGCTTGTGAGATGTGTGAAACCTTTGTCGCTGAAACAATATAACGAGCTGAAGCCTGTTAGGATTTTACACTTTCTCATAAAGTTTGGAGGAAAAAAAAAGGCTCTCCACATTTTGATTAAAGTCAAATCCACAATGAACATCATTTATAATATTTTACCAATCATTTTCTGATGCATTATGTGAAATGATTACATGATTTTTAGTCGGATTTTGCTAATTACACTCCATTATACCTCTAGGCTGGTTTTCTTACTCTACAGGAAGGTGAATCTCTGTCCCAGTCTCATCCTCTACATTATCTAACAGGTTTTCTGAAAAGAAATTCCTAATTTACTCACACCTGTGTCCCCAATGGCTTGCAGCAATCTAAAGATGGAACTTCTTATGTTCTGGCATATTTTTAGTTGTTTCAACAGCTCTGTTCTTGTCATTAGTGCATAACTATTTGTGACGTTTGTCGACATGTTATTAGCTTCAAATGTCTTCAACTCCTCCAAAGTTACCATGAATCTCTTGGCTGTTTCCCCAAATAATTATCTTGATTTCCAGCCTATCAGTCTGGGAGGATGACAGTGTCTTTGGAGGTTTTTTTGTGCCTGGTTTCTGGATCAGGGATTTAATTGAGCAGTGCTCCTTGAGACCTTCAAAGCTTTGGATCTATAACATTTATCCTTTATTTAATAAACTTAATCTCTGACCTGCCTGCTGTGTTCCTTGGTCTTTGCGATGCTCTTTGATCACCAATACCTCTGAGGCTTTTACAGAACAGTCTTATTTATTACATATCGAATTACATAAAGAGCTGAACGACAGGGTCTGTCCTACATTTACATTGTTTTTCATCATCATTATTTATCACGTGAAATTCCTACCAAAGTACATTGGAATTTGTTGTTATAATTGGGGGAAAGTGTAAAAACGTTGAAGGGGTATGATTTCTTCTAAATGAGCTGAGCGCTGCTTTCTCAATCTGTTGCCCATGTGAAGCATTTTTATGGTTGAGCCTCTTTGACCCAGCTGCACAACCAGTACGCACAAATACAAACACTAATACGAAGGTCAGTAGGCAACTTTAGGGTGCTTTTCCAAGATGGGAAGAGATGAGGTTGGAAGCACACCCTCAACTTTCCAAAAAGCAAGAAGAGCACTTTTCCTACTGAGCCACAGTCATATAAGAAAAGGAAGCTGGTGTCTGCTGACTGCCTTTTAAATTTGCTATAAAAAAAAAAAGGTCAAATTAAGCCGCACAGACAGAAATCTGTGAAATGCGATGGTTCATAAAACCCCACAGTTCATCATAAGAGGCTGTTTGAGAAACAGGCTTACCGGGGCTGTTAAACAATTTGATGTTAACTGGCATAAAAATAGTAATTAGGCGATAATTCTTATTAATTGAAGTTGAGAGCAAAGAAATTATGTTTTTCTGCTGCCAATTCTTTGCACCATGGGCTCCTGCTGCTGCTCTGACTCAAAATTAAAGTGATTCCTGTAGATCTCATTAGCTTTCAAAGAGCCCCCTGTGACTGAAAGTCTTCTTAGAGCATTTGACCTCTTACGTCTTCTGCCGCAACGCAGGTCTGTGTGTTTTTACGTTTTAATCAAAGAATGAGATTTTTTTTTTTTTTTTTTTTTGTAATGCAAGTGAGAACATTTGTGCTGAAGATATTTCCTCCTTTGAATCACTGCTGATCCAAAAACAGGAGCTCTGGGATTATGAATTTTGCTCATGAAGACAGCGCTTTGAAAAACTATTCATACCCCTGGACCTTTTTATGTTTTTGTCACAAATGTCAATGTGCTTTGATGTGATTATATATGCCAGACAAGTACAAAATAGTACATGATTAGCTCAAAAGACAATGATTCATAGATCTCAAATTTAAAGAAACATTTACAAGTAAATAAAGTCAAATTTTGTAATTTAACCTAATATAGATGTAAATCCAGGTGTTCTCTGAAGGACTCTGAGGTTTGTTGGAGAAAATTAGAGAACAAGAAGCAACATAAAGAACAAGGAACACCGCAGGGGGATCATAAAGAAATTTGTGGAGACAACTATGACTAAACCTAGTGGTTAGGTTACAAAACAAGATTTTACAACTTTAAAATCTCACAGACCATTATCTGAAAGTGGAAAAAGGACAGCACATTTGCAAACCCACCAAGACACAACTGTGCACTTGAACGGTTTGAGTGAGGACAACGTTAAGCTCTATGTGGTGATAAAACCTGACATGACTGTAAACCTTTGGCACACTGAAGCATGGTGATGGGTTAGAATGGTCACTTCAAACACAAATATGAAGGCAATTGAAAATCTGTAGCAAGCAACGGCAGTTGTTACGGGGAAGATGTGCAGACATAGCTTTTTGATGGCTTTAATGAAACTACATCCAGACAGCAAAATTAACCTGTGACAGCTAAAGAGCCACGTCAGGCAAGGGTCAACCGAAATGCATTTCTGTGGATGCTTGAAGCACAAAAGCATGAGGAGAGAGGGGGAGAAAATGTTGCGATAAGAATTAACAACATGGCCGACCTAACAGGCCTCTTGATAAGTGAGGCGATTTGGTTTGGAAATGGTTTTGCTAGGAAGGCCTTAGAAGGTTCTGCTAGATTAGAATACCTTCAGTAGAAGAACCCGAGCAGGTGCTCACCCAGGGAATCATTCAAGTAGCGATTTGCACGGCATGCAAACCTCAAACATTGTTCCTTCCCAGATGACGTGCATCCAGTTTGATCATAGCAGATCTGATTTGCCTTTGGGTGTGCAAAAGTTTAAGTGTAATCACAGCAGAATGTGATTGAACAAAGAGTGCAAAGAATAATTTTTCAGAATTTCTTCATAAAGAAAAACTAAATACTTCCTCAATTTCCCTTCTAGTTTATAATTATTCACAATGTTGGTCAAAATAAATAAAAACTAAACGCCTGAAGCCCCACCTTTCCTTATTTCCTTTCCGGCTCACCCATAGTTTGCTTAAACATGGGAACAGCCTGCGGCACTGGCGAAAATAGTCCCGACCACGATCCGCGGCTGCCCACAGATGCGCAGCAGTAATGGTGGTCTGACGCAGAGGGGCGCACTTCTCCCTCCAGGTGCGTCCGCCTCCCCATCCCCGCACCTTCCCGCATCCCAATAGCTGCTGCTGGTGGTGTCCGCTACCAGCCCACCGCCCTCACTCCTCCTCCTCCTCTTACTCCTCCCTCTTCTTCGCAGCGGAGAGCCGACTTGATGCGCATAATAAATCATCTCTGCAAGATCCCTCTGCGAGCCCGGCTTCGGAAAGACGCGTGTTGGATTTGGGAGCGTAAAACAAGAGGGGCGAGAGGCGAGCCTCGTCGCGACAGCAGGCGCGAGGATATGCTTTAAACGCGATTCAGTGCTGCGAACAACGTGGGTGTCGCGTGCGTGCGTGCGTGCGTGCGTGTGAGAATGAGTGAGCGAGCGAGTCAGTGCCTGTGAATTCTTCTTCTTCTTCTTTCTGTCTTTATTTATTTATTTATTTTCCGTGTAGGGAGTGGAGGAGAGGAGGCAGAGCAGCGATATGAGCCGCATGTGTTTGAGCCTCCTCGCCACCGGCCAGCACAGACTCACTTTCACCTGTATGAACGACCTTGCAATTGCGACCGAATTTTTCCCGACCACGTTATTTCCATGGAGGATCAATTTGTCGCTTTTTTCCGCGAGGGCTGAATTCAACTCCCGCTGGTCTCGAGACACTTCTGAGCAGGAGGTAAGACAAAACAGCCTCAGTGCGTGCTTGCGCGTGCGTGCGCGCGCGCGTGCGGAAATTAGTAAGAAATGGTTGGTTATCTGTGCATTTTTAAATGTCGGCTCTGGACTGCATGTTTAAAACTGATTCATTGATGAAATGCCCCCAAATCGATCAGAATTGTGTGTTGAACAGCGTCATGTTCCCTCCTCACCGCAGCCTTTTCCTCATCCGTGAAGGAAAAGCTTTTAGAAATAAGATTTTTAAAAAAAGAAGAAAAAAAAACATTTCTATTTGTTAGTAGCGAGCTGCGAGTGTCTCAAACATGCTTTTTCTTTGTCAGAGCGATGAAGGGATGCTAGGATTTCAGCCTCTCACCGCTCCTGGTGTGATGCCACACTGCAGCCTGGCTTCCACATCAAGTCTGAAACGTATGAACCCACAGGACATTTCCAATTGATTGGATTGTAATGAAAGGGAGTTGAGCCTCAGGTTGAAATGAATACATGATGTCTGTATGTAGTGGGAGAAATCGATAGTGTTTTGTCAATGATGCTCCGTCTGATGTGTTTTGAAGCAAAAGCACTTTCAGTGAATCTTTGTGAACTAAAAGAGAAAAAGAAAAAGAAGGTGCTGCTGACACACACGCATCCAGGCAACAGTTTTACCTTTGCAACATTCTCAAGTTAATTACATACTTGTGTGTCCCAATGCCTGCTTGGATACAGCTTTGATGAATGAAGCCCAGGCCTTCAAAAGAATAAAAAAATAAAAAATGCACACCCACTCTTCCTGCTGGGCTATTTTCTTCAAGCAGATGTGGTGTTTGTGCATTACTGTGTCTGAATCAGTTAAACCCCGAGTTGGTTCCTCCTCATTGATCGAGAGTTAGAGGGATTCACCCCATGAGGCAAACTGCAACCATTAACATTATTCAGGAGTGAAAGCTGAAAGTGAGCATGTGTGTGTGTGTGTGCAAATAATATAAGTGGTTGGACACCTGTGAGCTTGTTTCAGAATTTGTTGACCTTTTACCCATCTGTGTGACAAATCGATAATGACCATAGTAGGTTTGTAAACATTTTGAAACATGAAATTGCATGTATTGTTGGAGCCCATCAGTTTCGAGAAAGGTTGACTATCCCAAAGCAAATCTGACCCAATACAATAAGGCAACCAGACCCACTACATCCATTACTGGACATGTAAATAAAACCCAAAAGAAATAATAACCACCCTAAGACTTGTCAGCTTTAGATTTAAAGCTGTGTTTGCAGCAATACTGGAGTTCCACGAAACATTTATCTCTGCAAGCTTCTTGGAACTGGTGAACAACAAGCACATTCCTGTATTCATACAGAAGTATAACTATAGAAATGTGTGACAAAGATCACCATTAAGATTAACCCACATTTTCCTCACTTTTTTCAATTCTCCATGCTTGTGTAATGTCTCCCTCAAACTCTTGAGCTTTTAACATCACAGCCACTAGAGTTGTGCATCAAATGTGGACATTCCCATTCTGCTGACTGCATGGCGCTTCCCTCTGACTGGGAGTATTATGTTCACTGTCAGTGTGTACAGTTAGTGCAATCACCAAAATCTGACCAGTGGCGGACCCTAGAGGGTAGATGCAGAGGATGAAATTTAGGTCACACAGGGTTAACTGTTGAGTGAAAAATAGAAAATAGCCAAGCAGCTGGGAAGTGCTTTTCCTCTTAGTATAAGAAAAATGTAGCCTGTTAAATGGTACTGTTCAGCAACAAGTGGGAGTGGGGCCATCAAGGGTGAAAACTGAAAACTCCAGTCATTGTGACACTTTTCCTAACATCTTGTATGCTTAAAACAAAAGACTTGACTGAGAATTGTTATATGTTTTAAATTGCAAACTTTTCAAAACCTTGGTTTGTTATTGCACTGGTAACAAAGCCTGCAGTTTGTCATACTGTCATCACATTTTCTATTATTTATTACATTGACCATAAAGTTGGGAGAAGGCATTTATTATTGATTACCACCTTTTTGGCTACAAATCTATCCTATGCGTTTCAGAGTCTCACAGAAACAAATACTGAGCTTATTCATTCCAAAACTCCACAGATGGATTCTGTATTTCATCTCTACTTCAAACAGTGCAGTAGTGGCACAACCTTAACCTTTTAAATCGACAAAAAGGATCCCACAGTGAATCAACTTGTACAGCATGTATCTGCAAATAATTTTTCTGTATTACTTTCTTTGGTGAACTCTAATGCTGACTCATTTATACTTAAGATGTGATAAAACTGAAATGACTTATTCTTGGCTGACTAAAGATTCTTTGAACAGTTTGTGGAGCAAAAAGACATTTTATGGTTTTCTTGACACATACAGTAGATCACCTTAGATCAGATAAAATAGGGAGGCTATATGAAACTGATCTGATTATTTCACACTTTATCGACAAATTATATATTTTCACAAAGAAAATAAAAAAAGATTGCATAAGTAGGTCGCAGATTAGGTTTGCTAGCCAGTTCAGGTTTAATTAAAATATGTACTTCACGTTTTGAACCAGAGCTGAACAAAAGTGGAACAGAATCCCTAAAAGTAATGAAATACCTGCTTAATCAAGCATCGAAGTGGAATTGTTCATTTATTCAGTACTGCTACTACTGTGTTAGCAATATAACAAAAGTATTGTTTGCCTATTAACCAACATTCATTATTTGTTAAGGTGAGTTGATCCTTCTCAGCTTTGTTCTATTTTCAAGCATCACTGCTTCAGAAAAAAAAAAACTGACTGTGAATGGCTGATGATGACTATTAATCAGTTATGTTTCTGCACACTTTTAGCGCATTTACACTTTATACTGGTGCAAAAAAAAGAAACAGAAAAATGGCGTGTCCAGAATTACACCTCAACTCCCTAAAATCTAAGACCCCTGCAAAATTAAATCAACTGAAACTGAGAGGGAAAGAAATGTGTAAAAGAAGAAATCTCCAGATCTTGCAAATCTCCTAATTTTAGTTCCATTAAAAAAAAAAACATTTTTGAATTTTATCTTCATCATTTGATTCATAGTTCTCTGTATCTGTCATATGCACCTTCACCCCTTGAACAGGGATGTTATTGTATCTGCCAACTTGCAGAGTCAGCACGGGCACAATAATCCTGACTGCAGAAGGACATCTGTGGAGAGTCCTGGTGGACCGCAGTCGGTTGGTACAGATGACGAAATTGATGTCACACAGACTTTGTGGTGTAGCAGACAGTAGAGAGGACTGGAAGGTGTCAATAATCTCACAGGACTTGTGCTTCCACAGTAGTACCACTATGAAAGTGGGCGATGCTGTCTTCATCCTGCTGCTAGACTAATATTGACCGATCAGATGTGCTTTAAAAAGTGGCACCATCTGTTCCTGATAAACCCCCGCCCCTTTACAAATCCATACCGTAAAATGCAAAGTTGACAGGAGGGCGATACCAACTGCATCCCCACCAATCCATAGTGCTGGAGGTGCCACCACTTTGCACAGTGTGCATGGGCCTATCACTGAGGTAAGGCATCCAGGACTCTTCTGAAGAGAAAGCGTACCAATCCAATTTTGCAGACTTTGGGGGAAGGAAAAAAAAAGCCTGAGCAAACATGAAAGGTAGAGAAGAAAATCCTGGCTGAGACCCCACATGTCTGATTTGACATCCGGGCAGCTGACAAACAATTAGGCCTTCCATAAGTAGTACTCTGAACCAGACTTGCCTCAGGATTAGGCCACAAATGAGCTGCACATCATGGATTATGTCTTCTAAATGGAAAGGTAGAAAGAGCAAGTGAGAGAGAGAGAGAGAGAGAGAGAGTGTGTGTGTGTGTGTGTGTGTGTGTGTGTGTGTGTGTGCGTGCGTGCGTGCGTGCGTGCGTGCGTGCGTGCGTGCGTGCGTGCGTGCGTGTGTGTGTGTGTGTGTGTGTGCGTGGACTAGCTGTTATACTGTATGTGGTGCACATGGTTAGAAAGCAAGTTGAGTGTGTAGGTGTGTGTGGGCTGTGTGACATTCAGCAGATGGATGTTATTATCTGTCCCTGGCCTATCTTGAACACCTCTAGAGGAGACTGTGTGTATTCATGTGCACAGATGAGCTTTATTCATGCACACGATTTCATGCAGGTGCAGACTAATGTACTCAAATCTCCATATACTCCACACATGCTCCACCGCTCACTTAACTGCTGCGTTATTGCCTGTTCTCCATTGTGTGTACGTTTGACATTTCATAATTGCATCATTACTTGCTCAGTGCATCGCAATTTGCAACACGCGCTTCAAGCAGACAGACTCTTGCCCTTGATTATGGACCTGAGTGGAATGGGGTTCCTCATCAGGCTGTCTTGATTCGCCCCAGCATGTGGGAAGACACATGCTGCTGTGGGTGAATCTAATTGATTGGATGGCACCCAATTCCCAGGTCCAAGTCTCCTCAGGCAGCCAGCATGGATCCGTCCAAGTGAAGGATGAGCCGAGGCGTCGGTTTCCCCGCTAATAGATTGGCATGTTTTGCCTCCCATATGCCTCAAATGTCTCTGAGGGCAGCTTGGCCACAATGCAGGACACAAAGTGGCATTGTCACTGATTAGAAAAGTGAAAATGCATTGAGGTTTGGAGCATTTGACATCAAACTTCAGCTTTCAGTTTGTACCAGGTGCGTCATACAAACAGCAAAAAGACGTGTTACGTTGAACGCAGTCTCCGCTTTGCATCAAAATTGTATTGAGGTTGCTCATTCAAAGAAGAATGATACTAAAGCTTACTGCGCCTTTTGACAGTGCATGGAAGAAAACGTAACCTGTCATTAACATCCCACAAGCCTTGTGCAACTTCAACAAAATGAATAACACTGACAAATGGAACATTAAACACAGCCAGATGTCAGGGTGCACAGCGAAAAATGGACGATGAGGTTGAGTTCTCTGAAATCAGAAAAAGTTTGTTTGCAGGGGAACTTGTCAGGTGGAAGTTGGCAAACTCGCCAGATGGGAAGTTGGGGTAATCTTGAGGAATAGCTCACATTTACAGACAGTTTATCCACACATCTCTGCAATGTTGCCTTTGTTAAGTTGCCTTGATAAAACAATTTCCAACTGAATGCTACTATCTTAGAGATGCACGTTTAAATTATTGAGTAAAGCTCATAAAAACATGGAAGACAGCAATATGTTATTATGCTTATTGTATGAATTACGTAAGTAGTAGTGTAATTCAGCCATTTAGGTAAAAAGATAACTTTGGCACGCTCCTTGATGGTTAAGTTTTTACAACGAGTTGGAAATTATGAACAAGAATCTGGTCAATGCAAAATGTATTCAGCAGAATCTGTTCAGTTCTTAAATGTCTGCTAATTTTCTGTCACATTTTCATTGTGAACGGTGAACAACTGGAGTCACTGAGAAAAGTTTCTGGTCAACTCTTCTTTGTTTCAGTCTGGGTCTTCAAAAAAATAAGGGTAAAATAATTTCCCATGGAATAGATATGAGTCTGCTTTGAATAAATCTGTGGCCTCACAAGGTTTTCAGACCCAAACCTCTTCTTTCATAAAAAAAGTTTTCTAACATTGATATTTGAGGTGTGTATAACATTTACTAACTGCACGTCAATTATAAATGACGTGCAGTCAATTTTCATTGTATGAAATTGTACCTGCAGCTGTACTATTTCATATGTAATCATATGTTAATGTGATGGAGCCATAACTCTGCAGGTTGTTATATTTAAACAAGAATGTAAACTTTTCAATCTGGCATGTTTACTGTAGCTGCAGGAGCTTTATTGATGTTTTTAAATTCCTCAGACATCAGAGTGTCTCCCAAATTTTTTGTGCAACTTGACTTTTAACTGCTTGATGTAGCACAGCTTGCACTAAGTCTTATCAACGTCCTTCAGCTTCACCTGTTTGTCTTGCCTGATAGGCAAAACACCTCAAAACAATGCTGCTGCTTTAACCTTTTTATCCGTTCTCCAGAAATACTTAAATAAATTTACAGCATTGTCGCTGTTCTGTGTAGCGACATTATGCTTCACCTTTGGAAGATGAATATGACTCAATTTATTTTGATTATGACACAATTGTTTGTTGTTTTTTTTCCTCTTTTTAGTACTATTTAAATAGAAATATACTGTAAATGAAGTGAATGAAGTTGTCATCAGTTGCGGTGTGAGGTGGAGAGGCAGACGCAGATGACCCAGGTTGGAGTGAATGATGATGGTTTAATAGTGGAAAATCACAGGCAGCACAGCTGAGCAGAAGGCGAAGGCTCAAAAACCGGTCGCAACTAGTGAAGGACTGGACAGCAAGACAGAATAGACAAACTGGTTCGACACATGGGACAAAGACGCAGAAACACAGGTGGCATTAAATACACAGGGTAATCACGGAACGAGACACACCTGGGGACAATCCAGGGGTGGACAACATGGAGACTCAAAAGACACAGAAACCCAAACAAAACCCACAGAAAACTCAAATCACTAAGTTTTCTGTGAGAGAAAACCGAATCCTGACAGAAGTCTGATGTCATTTTATTTCATCAGAGCAACTGTCAATCGAATCATAACTTCAGTCATCACCCTGAAATCTCAGGCATCACTTCAATAAGACAGCATTTTCATTTGAATTTTTATACAACAGATATTCAAAAAAAACCTTCACACAGTTTAATTTAATAGAAGTTTAACACATTCAGTCAAGGCTTCAGTGAAAGAAACTGGACAGTAATAACCTGGAAAGAGTGTGAAATCATTTCCCATTGCATAGATAAAAGTCTGCTTTAAATAAATGTGGCGTCACGAGGTCATTTGACGTGACCTGCAGAAGTATGACCCCCTCAAACCACAGGTGACCTCCAGTGTGTCTGTTTGTGTGCGTTGGTTCATCTTGCTTGATCCTATTTAAAAGAAAAAAAAACTTATTATATAAAACAGCTGGCATTTAGAGGATTTTAACTCGAAAATGCTTGTTTCAACAGGTCACGCTCTTTTCTCTCTGAGAACGCAAGTGCCATTTTAAAGCTTATTGGATGAAAGCCTCATTTACCCCTGGCTGCCAAAGATGACGCTGCCATGGAAACTGCTTCTATTGCTATCAATCATCGACCGTCTGACAGGTAAAGCACCTTTTCATATGAATGATGATTTTTTTTTTTTTTTTTTGTCCTTTGGACATTCACAGTTGTGGTGAAGAGATGTCAGAAATGATAGGAGGCTCCGGTTTAAAGGAGTACTCATCAGTATTGACTTCCATTCACACTGCAGACAGAACACTCTCAATCTTTTTCTCGCACCACTGAGATTATAACCCGATGGGGAGATATGATGCTTTTATTCTATCATCTTTTCCTGGACAAAACACTGAGCAGAAGCTTCCCCACCTCTGTCAGTGAAATGTATTGGTAATAAAAGTCACAATCATTCTTTTCACAAAGAATAAACGATAGAAATCACTCCTTTGAGTCCGTCTTTATTAAATTTCCCTGCACAGTTTGGTGATCAAATTTTTTTTTTAAAAGTAACCTTTTTTTCTATTTTATATAGTAATAGCTTTATTTTGTTTGTGCATATCAACACAATGTATATGTTATCACAAAGGAGACACTGATTTAATAATCCGCTCTGGTGTTGATTTTATTGAGTTTATCTGTTTGGAAATACACCATATGAAACTCATGGATGTCACTTCCAATATTTTCTGGGGGGTTTTTCATACTCATATGTATTATTTTGCTTCAGAATGCCTTAAAAAATAATTAGAGCGTCAGTTTTGTCACAGTGGATATTCTTCTTCATGCTCAGGCAGTTTTGTGTTTCTCTGAAAGATTGTCTGGACAGTGCATCATACCACGGTCCGCGGTGGAGGATGGAACCAGCCGACCTGTTCATCCCCGTCGACTCCATAGAAGAAGAAGCCACCCTGACTTGTGATGCTAAGGGCACACCTTCTCCTCAGTACAGGTGAGAGCTCATTCACCTCACTGAAATTTTGTATTTTTTTTTATTGTAATGTAAAACTGCACTTAAGGATGCAATTATTACCATTTTTCACAGAAGTAAGAGACTTCGACTTCATAATAAGCAATTCAAATGAATTTGATGCCATTTGTTTTATCACTTCTATTTGTGGAAATGTTAATTAGAACTTCGATCTTTTTTCTGTTTTTTTTCTTGGTGTGCAATTAAAAGTTGCATTTAAAACAGGTTATTTGAAATTCAAACTTACTAATGTTATATCTGAGTTTCAAAATGATGGTGGCATTTGTGGGGTTTTTTTATTTCTTGGTATTATTTTGTCTTCTGAAAATGTATTGATGTTAATGAGCACAGATGGTGTGTATCCTTTGGGAAAATGCTTGTTCTGCTGAATATATGTTGCAAATAGCCATGGGTCAGTATGAAATGATCAAAGCATCACGTCTTTCATGTGTTAAATCACAGTTTCAATTAAATGTCATTTAATGTCAATGTCTGAAACAGACGATTAACACCAGCAATGGGGCAAATCTGCATTTTTATAATGATCACTTTTGCAATACAGAATCTCTGTTGAATGCTTCATTAACGTAAATAAAATCAGTAACAGACTTGCTTAAAAGTTCTGTGTTTTTACAGTTCAGTAAAACAATACACTATGTTTCATCTGTATTCTTTTTGTAACATTCAGTTTTGTTGTGTGAACATGTGTTTTGGAGTGGGGGCCAAAAGGTCAAGCATAATTTCATTGGTCTGTAACTCTTTCTTCCCGAAGGTTTGTAAAGATCTCACCCAAATCTAGATAAATCTTTCCTTGAAAGAATTTGCTTCTGTTTTAACCAAGTTATTCCTGACAATGTTGCTGAAGGTTTGTTTATGTTAGCAACTTCCAGTATAATAGCTGCAGGAAAGTAGTGTGTTTGGTTTCTGGTGAGGATAATTTTGTAAATAACATGTTAGCAATTAGTAACATCTTATTTTTGGTTCTGTTTGTAACACTCAAGCACATACGGGTGCCTTGTCGAAGTTCAGTCATGTGTGATTTGCTTGTTGTGCTATTTGTGGCTGCACTGTTGATCAGGAGAAGGTTAATATGCAGCTTCAGCTAGTGTTTGTCAATGATTGATTTTATTATTTTCTCCGATTGGTTACCAACAGATGAGAAAGTTGAACAGTATAAAATTAAAGGGACCACCAAAATACCAGCAGTTGTGTATTTTTAATTTTAAACTGAAGCACAGGGATGACGAAAATCCTTATATCACTGGTTGGGGTGTAACATTAGCAGTCCTGCTCATCAGGTTTGACTTCAGGGTTCAGAAATTACAACCTCCTTAGCTCTTATATATTAGATTACTAAACAAACTGCAAATTATAAATTTGTTGAACTTTCAAACTATGATAGTTTTCTTTGATTTGTCTGAAATGGAAAATGATCTTTCTGAATTGCATTTATGCTGGGAGACCAATAGCAACCCAGGGCATTAAGCAACTGTAAAATTTGCTCTTAACTCACGAACATTGCCAGTTTAATTATGGTAAGTCAATTTTTTTGTGATTGTACATTTAATAGATTTATTCATCTACAAAATGTACGGAACTGTAAATAATTACATAAATGGACAATTTCTTTGAACGTACTTGCTTTGCAAACAAATGTTACCAAATATCTCAGGGGACCTTCTTTAAGTCATGCACATGCACAAAATGTGCATGACTTGAATTAGTGGTGGGACTTGATAAAACATTTTCTTAATAGAGTTAATAGCAGGGTCTGTCGTGAATTAATCACAATTAATGACATTTTAATCAAAACCATGTACTGACAAATTATTCAACATTTTCAATTACAAAACCTTTCTACAGCTAAATTATTTAATAAAAAGACATGAGTTCAACGACAAAGACATTTATTGTTTTTAATGTTACTTCAGTTGTTCGTTCATCAGATTGGTGCAAAGTGATATTATGTTCATTCAGCTTCCAATTGTCCCTAATAACTCATGGAGCTTCTTTGAAAAAATACTTCTTTAAAATGTGGACTGCGGACACTGACATTAGTGTTGGAAGCATCTGTGCTGCTGCAACATGTATCACGTTGTGGTGTTATTTTAGGGTTGAAAAACCTTGGTAATGGGTTAAATACTTTTTGCCCAACTTGCACACAGCGATAGACTTCTCCACCGTCGGTTTAAATTGTTTTCAGAAGCAAATATTAACCGCTGGTGGGCCTAGAGAAGCATCTTTGTCTTTCATTGCTATGGTTTGCACCAAAAACACAGTAAACAGGGGCTCGCTTGTGACTTTTGCATGTAAAAAAAATGCTTTGATTAATTGCTTTACAACTTTTCATCAGTGAAAATCAATGTAGTTAATTAATCAAAATTATTGTGTGAAAGTCCCGGCCCTAATTCAAATCAAATAATAAAAAAATCTCTCATTTTGTTGGTAGCTCCCCACTCAGACGGAGTCAGCTACAGTAATGGTAAAAAATAAAGATTGTTAATTACTCAAGAATTTTTTTTTTTTTTTTGTGAACAAGATATGTGTTCTCCCTTCTATTCATTTTCTCCTAATTAGATTGAAATGCATATAGACACTCTAGGCAGTGCTGTCATTATGGCTCCTCTAACTCATATTGACTAACACACCACCAATCTGCCTCTTTTTCTCACCACCAGAGATTAGAGAGATACACGCAGCATCCTGATGATCGTCTCCTTTATTAAAACACCAGGAGAACAATGCCGATTGCCAGACGCCAGTTGGCACCGAGAGCCATTGATTACATTTGTCTTCTGTGTTTAGCGTTGCATTTACTGCAGTGGGAGCTGCTGGCCACCTGAGCTGCATTGGTAGCGCCGTGCAGTGTGTGCACTCATTATTTCAGGCTTTTCACATCCTGTTCGCCTAAGACCAGGTATTTCCATGTAATGATTAAAGGTGAGATGTTTAATGTGCTGTCTCGTCAGACTGGCTGTGCAAGTGTCTGCGTGCCCCCACAACCTTTCTGGCTCGGCTCTTGAAGTGTAAATGGTCTCACATTGCTCCCCAACCCCTTTTTTTCCCTTCTTTACCTTCTTTCTTTTCCTACTCTGTCACTCCCAGAGATATAAGACTTTCATTCTATGCACACAGCAGCGGCATAATAACTCAAGGGACAGAACCGGCTCGCCTCTTTAAAAAGAATAATCTTTCTACAGCATTCTGAAAATGTGTCTGAGTTTCTTATAATCTAAGTAGGAAGGGGGACTGTAACATTCACTTGACCCGCGTTTTGTACGCTCGGGCCCGCGCCGCGGGATCATTCAGAAGACTTGACTTTTTTCTGCACCTGGAAGGTTCAGAAAACAAATTTATAGTAGAGTTGTTTGTTTAGTTTTTTTCCCTGGTTGCCAGTCAATCCTGGTAGCACAGAGCTTCAGAGGCTCTTCAGTAAAGGTCAAAAAGAGGTGAAAATCATGGCTGAGGGTCAAAAAGCTGAATTCTAGCAGTTGGACCAGACACCCACACTCATGCTACTAGTATTGCTAGTGGTATAAGGAAACGCTTGGGTGATTATTGTGCTGCTTTTACAAGAGGAAGGTTTGAAATCATTGCAGGTTTTCTAAAATGTGGCAGCATGTACATATATATACCTTCAGATATTAATTTGAAAATTAATTTTTATTTCCACTTCAGAAAAGCAGAATATGTGACTATAGGTGACGGTAAGAAATGGGTGTTCTTTATGGTGAGAGAAAAATGATTGAATATCCATAGAAGGTGCCCTGTCTTTGAACCCATGTGTGCTCTTTTTTTTAAACCACAGTCAAAAGGAGATGCATAATGGCATTGTGGCTGAGAATGGAATAGAAAGATTTCTCTATTAAAAAATGAAAAATGATGTAACCTGGTGCTCGAGTTCTTTCGGGTATCTCATTTATTTAATAGCTCAAACCTACTGTGCAAATATTTACATATCACGTTCCCATGCCGACATGTGGGAGAAGAATCCAGCAGAGAGAAGAAGTTAAAAAGGCAGGGCTTTTTTTGTTGCATCAGCCCACTGTTACCTCACACTAAGTACTAATGTTGGAAATGATGGTGTCACTTTATGTTAATATGACGTGACAGAGAGGAGTTGATTATAGCTAAAGTGATGATAACCTCCAAAACCGTGATCTTTGTCTACCCTTAAATAGCAGGGAAAGGCCTTGTGTGTGAGATACTGGAAGATTAAAATTTAATGATCTCTGTGGGAAGTAGGAGACAGTGCAGCATGTGGTGTCAATGCTAAATAAAAGATAGAATATAGAAAACAACTGCAAGATTTTGTTTTAGTCATAACTTTTCCAAAATCACAGAGTATTTATCCATTAGTGATTTGCAAATTTAGTTTTGCCTGTTTATGTTAAACAGGCAAAAGCACTTCACACGATCAATACACAGATACATATCAATAAATCAAAATACCATTGAAAAGATAATTTACTCCAGTGATTAATTTCAAACATCACACTCATCATACATACATGTATTAGACACAGAGTAAAATATGTTTTTATTTATTACATAATACCAAAAAAAAAAAAAGAAAAGTGTGTCCATTTACTGAACTCCTGTATTTATTAAACCTCACCTGGTCGGATAAAACAGAATGAGATGGACTCACCAATTTTATCCCCCTGACGTATTCTCAGATATAGTATTGAACCTGTAACTGATCTGTCATAATAATTACATTTTTTTGCTAAAATGTAAAGTGACCTAACCAAGCCATACAAATGCTTTCATATCTTCAGGATGTGTTGTTTACTATTTACTGAACAATATTTTTCAATCATTTTTAGTAGATTATGATTATTTGGAATAAGAACAAGGGGATGTTGGAATTTAATCAATAAGTTGGCCTTTTGAAACTTGCAATTTGCTTTTCAAGTTAAGCGACTGACCTGGTCAGTTACAAATCCATTTTTGGGTTGTTAAAAAGGGCAGAGGGCAATTTTATCGTCAGTGTAGTTCTGAAATGGACACGTAATCCGGCATGCAGATCAGTTTTCCAGTGGGACAAAGTGCTTTGAGGCCGATAATGAGTTTGCAAACACTTGTGGCCCATCAAACAAAAACCACGGCCAATTGCTTGGTATTATTCACTGTGCTCAATCCCAGTCCTGTGGGGGTCATGGGGATCTTAGCAAGCTAAAGCTTGACAGAGATGAAGAGGTTCAACAGAAAATGTTTGAGACATTCTGCCACTTTGAACTTGTTCCCTGACTGGTGTGAAAAAAGGTTGCCTATAATTATTTAATATTTAATTACAGGAAAAGCCTGCTTACTGTTTTCAAGCAACATGTCATTAAGCTGTCTTAGGATCTGACCTTCTTACTTGATGATTTTAAAAATATATTGCGTGAGAAACATCAGCAAAAGAGCAACTTTGTTTGAATTTTGACTAAATTGAAATTCTGTGTATGTTAGAACAGCAAATATGAGAGAGGCGAGGAGATGTGAAGGACTGGTGCAAGCCAGAATGCTAATGTTATGCAGTGATGCTATGAAAATGCCAACTTGCATGCAACTTATCTGAGGTTACTTGGTGACTTTTAGCTTCATTCCTTTGCCAATGCTAAGTGTGAAAATCAATTTAAAAAAGGTGTGAAGGAAGAAGAAGGAAATGTGTGTCGTGGGGTGGTAAGATGCGGTAGGAAAGGAGTTGTGTGGTTAAAAACAAGGTTTTAGATGCATTCCCTGACTTAAGAAGATGTGTTCACGCGTTGGCAGGAAGTGATTGATGGTAAACATGATACCAATATAGTCTGATGTTCATTTAAAGATGCGGCCATTCACTCAAGCTTATAATGCTGTGAAAAAGTACCTACACGCACTGAACATTTAGATTTGGATACAACTCTCGTTTTCCATGTCTTTAATTGGAATTGGAAGTGTTGAACCAAAAATGAGTATGATTTGTGTTTAGTTTTACTAATAAAAAAACAGCAAATTTTTCTGTAATCACCCCTAATTAAAAACCTAATAAGACAAATTACCTGAAGAAGTAACGTCGTGACTTCTGTAGGTAATTTGGGATACAAATGGCCTGTTAGAGGTTATTTGTATCTCATTTATTCTCAGGGTAAATATGGCTGTTTTATGTAGGCCACAGAGGTTTGGTAGACACATTAGTGGAAAAAAAAACTAAAGAAAGAGAACCAAAGAGCACACCAGACTGGTCAGCCATAAAATTGTTGAGAATTTTGTCGAGGACAGGGTCTGGTGTACAACTTTCCAAGCTTTTAAAATCTTGCAGACAACTGGTCAATCTATCATCTTGGCCTATCTGCCAACTTACTAAGATCCTCTGTCCACCTAAACTCACCAGACATGGATAACAATAATCTGAGATTATGTGGGTCCTGCGCTGTGGTGACAATGGGTCTGGCATGAGAGTTTTTGTAGTCAAGTGGGAGATAGCCTATTGCTCCTTGTGCTGTCTTTCCTGTCTTGTTGATGTTCCTGACTATTGTTAGCAGTCAGGAACATCAACAGGAACAGTCAGCCCATCAAGGATTCTTGCTCTGGTTTCCTGTAGGGTGGCCATCTTTGCTCCAGGGTGTGTCTCAAATAATCACGTTTGCTATAGTGTTATTTGGCTGTAGTGCCACTGGGATAGAATAAGGTTCGAGTCAAGGAGAGGGGTAGTAGCCTTGGGCAGTGCTTACTCAGGGTATGTCATGTTGGGGTGAGAGGCCAGTGGGGCTTGAAGACCTGGTCCACCTGCCAGGAACTACTGGTTCCTGGCTAGTCTTTGGAACACCAAAGACTCTCTGCTGTTGTAGTGTAGTTACCAAAAGAATGGGGCAGCATTCAGTTATGGAGCCCGCCTCCACTGAATGCAAGCTGATACCTCTCTAACATACAGGATGTAACACCATCAAATAGTAAGTTATAGATATGGCCCTTGAAGGCATGGGGGGACACAACCATGCAGTGCTCCTCCTGGGTGGTTTTTGACTGAAGCTGTGCTAAATATAAATGCATGCTACACTTATAAAATTTTGATTTATACAAATTGTCCTTGTGTTGGTCTTTCCCAAGAAATCTCAATGAAATACATTCATGTTTGTGTCTGTGAAATGACAAAGTTAAGAACAGTCCATAAAGTATGAATTCCTTTGGCAGGGCCTGTATGTCTGCCACATAGTGAATGTCTTCTTCCACCATTCTGAGTTGTGTTTTCAATTCACGCCTTGTAACACCACCTTGGTTGCGAGAAAAAGATGAACCACGCATTTTGCCGCCGACTGATGATGTGTTTGCCCTCACAGATGGTCACTAAACGGGACTCTCATAAATCTGGGCCTGGATCATCGGCGGCGTCTGTCTGGGGGCAACCTCATTATAGGCAATCTGGACCGCTACCAGGACGTAGGGATGTATCAGTGTATGGCCTACAACACTGTAGGAGCTATACTGAGCAGGAGAGCAAGTCTACAGTTTGCCTGTAAGTTAATTAGTATGTCTGGTACTTTTACTCAAACCTGCAGCAAAGCTGTACTTAAAAAAAGAAACATATTTGGAATAAAGCAATGCAGCTGCATATCTCTCACAGACTCTGCTTCTGTGGTTTCACTCTTTACATAAACCTGTCAATGCCTTTTCTCAGTTTTCATGTCATGCATTAGGTAGCTATTCATTAGGCAAGAGAGCACTCCGACTTAATCATGCTTCCTGTGCACATTTTTCATGACAAGGTGCAAATTAACTGAAAATGTCATTAGAAGAAACAAACACAAAGTCAGCTGTAACACTCTGATGCCATGCATCCGATTTTCACAGATGCAGATGCGAAGTGCTAAAAGATGTGGTAAAGGAAAACAAAGACAGAAAATGATTCAGAGGTTACTTCATTCATTTTGGTGGATCACCAATAGTTGCTGCAATAATTTAGGAGGGTTGCTGTTGTGGCTTATAATTACATTAAGCTTTTAATTTTAAGCATTGATGCTTAATAGCATGTTAGAGTTTGATTCACTGAATGTAATCCACTCCAACAAGAGGACCAGGAGAACTTTTTTATTCTTTACAAAAATCTTTTTGCAGCATTTGAATTGCCATTGAATGATTTATAGGTCAAACTGAATGATTTATAGGTCAAACTAGTGTCTTTAAAATGTTATTCATCTTTTATGTTGCCAGATCATAAAGTGTATAAATCAAAATTTTTTACATCTTTTCCTTTTTGTTTGTGCTTAGGATTATAGAAATTTCTGTCTCAAATTTTGGGAGAAAGAAAAGTTTCAAAGAAAGAACCGGAAAAAAGGACAGCTCAGCATGTCTCTCAGAGTAGCAGATAACTAATATCAACACGTATAACAAGCACTCAAGACAAAACAGGTATTCCAGAGGGTTTAGTTCAAATGTGAGTTTATAAAAGGAAGACTTATTTGTGGTAGCTATTGACTTTCAGTCTACATAGGAATTAAAGAGCATGTAGTTAAACAAGCTCAGTTGTGTGAAACATACCTGCTGTGAGTGGTAGCAGCTGAAAGTCACTTCCTTACACATAATTAGTCCAAGTTTATTTGTGACCATTTTAGTGTAAACTGCTGTAAACCAGCTGTCAAAATGTTACACAATACACTGTCACACAGTCACACCATTCAAACGTTAAATAATTAATCTAAAGTTAGTTTTCTGACAAAATGTTGATGAACTACAACAACATTTAACTACAAAAAGTATTTTGAACAAAGACACTATTTGTGGTTGGTGTACAGAAATCTTGTTCATCACCTATTTACTTTCACAAAAACTTTTTCTGCACAGAAAATTTCAGTCTGACAGGGAAAATAAGAGCGCTCACCATTTTCTGTTAACAATAAGCAGTCAAAAATCAACTCAGTTTTTTTTTATAAAGAAAATAGAAAGAAAAACTTATCTTTAAAATTATGGCATGCAGTTTCTTATGCTACTTCATACCATCAGTATCATAAATATGTAGTTTATTTAATTATATTTTGTTTGTTTTTTTATAATAAAGGTAATAGAATTGTGATTTATTTGCAAGATATTTGCTCTTTAAAGTTCAAAACCTGCTAAACTGTGACATATAAACTGACATTTTGGAAAAGTCTCCTCTGTTACTGCCTAATGTGTTCACATAATTATTCCCCAGAGAAAGGCAAAAGTCACTTTCCCACTGTCAAACATTGATGTTTGAGGCCTAATGGCAATTCAGACTGCATGAGAGCACATTTGTTCAAAAATAATTGAATCCAGGTGAATACAATTTGCCTACACAGTAGAATTTAGATTAAGCAGCTTTTCTTTCCTCCAAAGGAACAGTTCTCATTTTCCATAACAATGCATCAGTATTTTAAAAATGTCTTGTTTGCTGCGTTTTTGCCTCCTTGATAAGGAACATCTAGAATCTTGATGGTTGGTTGTTTCTTTTGTCTTTCCTCAGATTTAGACCATTTCAAAGTTCACACCAGAAGCGCCGTGTCAGTCCGAGAGGGACAAGGAGTGGTGTTACTGTGTGGAACACCCACTTCATCAGGAGGTAGATACTCACAGGCAATGATTTAAAAACACCATCATAACAAGAAGTCTCCAATTAGATGGTGCACTCAAAATTTGAAATCAGAATGTCTCCTCAGGTTATGGCATGCAGCTTTTTTTTGTGTGTTTTTTTCTAAATAATCTAATAATTCTAAAAAGTAATGCACTATTTCTCTGTTGACTTCATGTACACATGTGCAAATTGTCCCCATTTCATGGACTTGATTAACATGTTAGTGTTTGCATTGGATTTAGTGCAATCTGCTTTGTGAATCCAGTGCAGAAACTAAGAAAATACAACTGCAAAAACTTGGGAGACGTTTCTCAGGCTTTTATCTAAATTGTAATTCTTAATCATGCTTAAAAATGATACAGAACTCATGAATAATGAAGTAAGATATTAAATCATGTCTAAGAGTGTTTATCAATTGCTTGTATGTCTGTTTGTCTTTCAGACCTTACATATGCATGGGTCTTCAATGAGTATCCATACTTTGTTCAACAAGACAATCGGCGATTTGTCTCCCAGCAGACGGGAAATCTTTACATAGCTAAGGTGGAGCCCTCTGATGTGGGGAACTACACATGTGTGGTGATGAACAGCATCACAAAAGGCAAGGTTCAGAGCTCGCCCACATCGCTGATCCTCAGGACAGACGGTAAGATGCTGCAAACGTTCATGACATTCAACAATTTAGTTATTTTTTTCTTATCGATGTCTCTTTTGTCACCAGATTATCAAAAAACTCTTTTTTTGTCCATCACTTCATTTAAGTCCCTAAGTACCAGTAACATGTCGTACATAGTTGGTTTTCAACAAACAAATTCATCAAATCTCCCCCTGTGCTGACTTAGCCTCGTCATAATTTGCGTTCCCCTTCCTCCTGCTTTCACATGAATTTTCAGGATTGGTCTGTTCCCTGATATGGTTTCATAGAAAGAGTGAATAAAGATTGCCTCAGATGAATTAAACATGAGTCATATGTCATTGGACCATTACATTGAGTGTTCTGGTGGCTCAACCAGTTAGTTTCCACTCAGCGTACTGTACATGTAGCTGCATAAATTTAAATCCTATTGCATCACTGTCTGATCCCCATCTCCGTGCCTTTCCCTGAATAATTATATAAACAATAAAACTGCCCACTCAAGCTTTGAAATAATAGATAAGAAGCTGCTGACTGAAAAAAACAAGACATTAATTCTCCTCCTCCCTTGCTGCGTTTTGAATTATTCCTCGCTGGCTCTGCATAACACCCAGTGACGGTACATTCAAAAGATGTAATGAGTATGCTCATTAGAGAATGTTTGTTCATTTTGTCTTTTACTTGTCCTTCGTGTTATTGCTTGAACCTCTGTGCCAGTAGTATTGTAGGTAAGTCATAAATAATAGAAGCCTGAGCAGGTTCTTGTGCTTGCTCCTTACAGGAGTGATGGGCGAATACGAGCCAAAAATAGAAGTTAATTTTCCAGATAATGTACCTTCTTCGAAAGGATCAACAGTTACTCTGGAGTGCTTCGCCCTTGGGAAGTAAGTTGAATTCCTCGAAGAGTGTTTTCAGGTTTCCTTTGCCCATCATTCCAGATGACAAACCTTCAGGTTTGAAAAATAAATAATAAAAACATCCTCTGGTAATTATATTTTTCAGTGTGTGGAGTGGGGGGAAAAAGTCGTGATTGGTTTTAAAACTCATGCTGAAAAGCTTTTATTTTTTTCATGGTTGGATTGGGCTTAATCTGAACCATTCATCCACAAAAATACACAGAGGACGCTTTTATAGTCCATCAAATGCTTCGTTATCGCTGGATTGTTACAACTTGAGCTAAGGTTTGCCTACTTTTTCTGCTGCAGCCCCGTTCCAGAAATCACCTGGAGGAGGGCTAACGGAGTCCCATTTCCCAGCAAAGTCAAAATGAAGTATTCAAATGCAGTGCTGGAGATCCCGAGCTTCCAACAGGACGATACAGGAGGGTACGAGTGTGTGGCAGAGAACAAAATGGGAAGAAACACAGCTACCGGTCGCCTGGCTTTTTACGGTATGTGATTTTAATTTGCTTTTTTCAAGAAACACATCTGGTACCATCAGTGAGGCTATTAAGAAATGTACATATTTGCACAAATATTTAATTCATGTATTCATGCAGTTTTTGCTTGCAGAAGTTTTTATGTAATATGAACAGAACGTGAAGTTTCACAGTGAAACTTCAGCAAAAGCCTCAAAAAGGACCTAAAAAACATCATTCTAAAGTTCAACTAAGGAATCCCAGCTCTTCAGCTAAATATCAACAAAGAAATGCCAGATACTGAGCTAAAAAGAACCCAAAGTCTCAGCATAACCTTTGAAATATTCAGAAATGTTGAACAGGTTTTATTCAAAACTCATTTTAAAAACATCCTTCTAATTGAAAATATGTTTCACAAAGTTTGATTATTGTGTTTAAAATATGGACATCCTTATAAATCAACACACATGAGAAACTAGATTATGAATAATTTTCATATTTAAACAAAAAATGTGTTCTCCTATTGTACATAATTCTTTGGAGGAGTTTCGTGGTGACAACTTTTGTTTAAATCATTTCCCTCTACAGGGGAGTTTTTTTTTTCGCACATACATTTTAAAGAGCTCATATAATAAATATTTACAGGTCTGGCGGTTAGCCGTGCTGCGTTGTAGCAAGATGGTCTTTCTGGTTCGAGTCTTGGATGTGTGGTTTTTCTGTTTAAGTTTGCATGGTGCCGCTTATGAATGTATAAGATTTTGATTTGTTTTTTTGTTTGTTTTTTGTTTTGCAGAGCTGGAAAACAACTGAAAACATTTCAAAATGTTTACCCTTTTACACTTTCACCTTAAAATATAATAGCGCAAGAAACATAGGAATTTTATTGTGGTTGGAGCGTATTTAGAGATAAAAAACAAAAGACGTCTGCTTGGTTTTAACATTTTTATTATTTTATTGCATTGCAATTGTGCTATTTAAAATTTGCCCTTTTGGCTCATGCTGGCTGCTGCGTTTTTCTATGAATTCATTACAGAAGCGAAAATGACACCTGTGACATTGGAACTGACAGCATGCTTGGCGCCTGCAAAGGAGCTGTGCTTATTATGAGCGCTGCATTCTTCCCATAAGAAAATAAAATAAAAAGTAAAACAGAAAAAAATCTGAAAAGTTGTGCATATGTAATGCTGGAAGTTATGTGCAGGGGTGATGGGGTTTTTTACACACACTTAAGGTGACAGGTTGGGGTGGGTGGTGATGTTGTGTGCACTCTACCAGTGGCGAGAAGTTTTCCGCTTTGTGGTTCAGTGTTTAATGGTAATCTTGTGTTGCCACAGGCTCGTGAAACATTTGAGTGATGAAATATTCAATCGTTTCTCTCTTCCCCCAACCCCTTAAGGACAAGCCCATCCTGTTAGAAATGCCAATCTGTGCTTCCTTTGAACTATTTGGGAAGCGGCATACTTAATGGCCCAGTGCTGCTTCCTTAAAAAGAGCCCTCCTCTGGGTTCTTGTGAGACATTTCATAAGAGGGGTATTTCTGTGTCCTCAGCTAAGCCTCAGTGGATCCAGACCATGAAGGACACGGCAATGGCCATAGAGGAGAGACTGCACTGGGAGTGCCGGGCCAACGGAAAGCCCAAACCCTCCTACGCTTGGCTGAAGAATGGCCAGCAGCTCCTATCAGAGGTAAATCACCGCCATCTAAAAGCGTTTCATGTTAAATACTTAATCTGCATGAGAGCGGCATGAGAGCTTGTTGTCGGTTTTTCCAGCATGTTGGATGAGAGTGTAAACATCTCGCGAAGGTGTGCCAGTGAAGAGACTTGGATTTTGCTGGGGCTGGTTCAGCTTCACCTTGGCAGATTACAGCGTCTTAGAGAGCGGATCAGTCGGGTTCCCAAGAGATTGCTCCATTTCATTTGAATGGAGTCGAGAGTTGTTTTTCATTATTCATGGTGCATGTTTAAGCTCCTTGAGATTTAGGGACAATGGGCTTAATCTACTGTGAAATATACTATATGGGACTGCACACCTCAGTCCAAACCACAAAAGACATGCACGCACGTCTGGCATATTCTCAGCTCAGTTGTTTTAAACTTGGCTGATTTTCACTGGCTGCTGAAAAGTATTATTATTTTTTTTGTTTCGCTTTATGACCCTTAGTGAAGCTCACTGCTAGACACATTGAATTACAAAGTAAATATAATTAGTTGTTAAATCATTATTAAAGAGGCATTCTTAAATGTCACTCTATATTTTCTTGGCATCTTAATGTCTCATAGGAAAAGAGAGTCTGCAGCGCCTTGCAGAAGTATTTTACGAGCATGACATGCTTCCTATAGATTAGTAATTTCACTCTTTGGTCATTTGTATGTAAAATATTCGCATTCAACTGCATAAAAGTAGTCTTAGTTTTAGGTTCCACTCAACGTTAAAAATTGCCTTTTGCAGCATTTTGCATCTTTTTCAGCATCAGCATCTTAGAAAAGCCATATTTCTATGCACATTGTTTTTGCCAAAGAAGAACAGAACAATACTTTTAACTCGCGTGTGCCAAATTTGGCCCACATTAACGTTCACGTGACTCTCTGTATTCCAAATTACATCAATATTTCCCTCCAGTTTTTCACAAATCTACAAAGACGCATGCTAAATTTACACAAATCAACTTTTTTTCAGATTTTACAAATTTTGCTTAAGTGACTGCTGTCTCAGCCTTACTTGATGTCAAGTTGTAGTTCGTGACTCATATGGCAAATTTAAAAAATTCCTCTTAACGTCATAGATAAGCGTAAATATCGCAAAAATTACTTAGAAATATTTCTGTGATTTTAATAGGAAAAAAATTCAAAAGCGATTGCAAAATTCGGGATAGACATTCAATATTATTTTATTTTATGAAACACTTATTGAATCCTGACAACAACAGCTATTTATTTATATTTTAACAGTTTAATGGTTCCTATCTATACATTTTGGCACAATCGGCCCTTTAAAAACATTCAAATTTTTGATATGGCCCAAAAAGAAAATGATTTTGGCATCCCTGCTTTAACTTTTCATAAAAATGGAAATTTTGTTAGTCAGTCATCTCAAAAAATAAAATAAAATCTATTAGAGTGCAACACTTAATGGCTGTAAATACTTTAGCAAGAAACTATGCATTCAATTCAAATGCACAGCATGTAATACTGGGAAACACACATGTTTTTATCCCTCTCACTCTTAGTTGTTGGTTCGAGGATCCATGGCAGCAACAGCAGCCTTGAGGTTTCCAAGTAATTCCTACAAGCCCGGTACACCTTTCGTTTGGAAGCGTTGTCCAGTGTTCTTGGCAGAAATACTTTAGCTGTACCAGATGGGATGGGGAGTTGCAGTATTGAGCCGTGTTCAGGTCTCTCCAGAGCTCTTGGTTCAGATCCATTTCTCACTGGGTGATCCCAGAATAGTTCTAGATATTTCCTGAAGCGGGGTTTTGTGTCATCTTACTCCAACTTCAGTATGTTGGCTTGTTCAAATGTAAACCACAGATCATCAGCACCCTGCCCTTTTCCCTGACTTGTTTCCCACTTGCTCTTGCTGAGATATGTTCCCAGAAGATGCTGCTTTCTTTACTATGATCAGTGATGGTACTCAGATGGTGCTCAATGATTTCTTTTGTTGAAAGTATTGAAGAAAAAAAAAACAAGCTTCGTCCGGTCTTTGTTACATCAGTCAGAGGATTTTACTTCACCAGGTCTGAGATTCTGTAGACCGTCTTGTTTCCTTCAGTAAGTAATGGCTTCTGTCTGTCACTATATGATAAAGCCATTATTGACCAATTGTTGCTCTGATTGTTCTCTCATCTCTAGAAAGAAACTGGTGTCATCCACACTGACCAAAGACTTGTTCGTTAGCTGCTGATCCAGACCCTTTATTCCTGCTCTTGCCCGTCCTGGCCCTCCAAAACAAAATAATTTTTTCTTCCACAGATCTGTGCCCAGAAACAATCTTATTTCACCTTCTGTCTCATATATTCCAGCATTTATGATGTTCTATCCTATCTTATTACTCTGATTTTCAAAAAACATTAGAACATAGGATTTCATATCATTATTCTGTCAGCAGTGAACACTGAATCTTTTTTTTATTCAATTTTATTATGAATTAAACTTAATAAAACTTAATGACATGGAAATGTAGAATTGATTGTGGATTTGTTGTATGTTTTAAAAGGGATAAAGTAATTTGAGCAAGCATAGCCAATGCTAGGTAGATAGATTACACATATTTTTGTAAATGTACAGAGTTTTTGCTGATTAGTTGCTACATTTCTTGTTGCTGCTAAAAGTTGCCTTTCACTAACATAAAGTTTTGAATATATCCACATTTTTTCTCCATAACATACAATAATTAGTTGGGCTGTTTGCTCAGGTAGCCAAGCTGCTCTGTAGTTTTAAAACCGGGTTCACAAGGTGACTGACTAGTGGAACAAAAACTGTACATAAATCAGTAAGTGTACTGTGGACTTTGTTTTTTGTTTGTTTTTTTTCACCCTCCTGAAATTTAGACAAGTTAAAGATTGAATTTGTTCAAATTTTCTAGCATGAGATGATGCAACTGCAATAAAAGATTCAATTATTCTAATGTTTTTTAAAGATCTTCTCCAGGATTCTTAATAAATGTAAAGAGAGCTGTATGTCTCATGATTTGTATGCTGTACGCAGGACATGTGATGAAATGGTAAAACTTGATCGCTCCTTTTTCAAAATAAACTACGCCTGCTTTTATTAAGAACAATGTGCACACAGAACCTAAACGGAATAAGAAACGCTCCATCTTGATTTAATCTGCAAACACCGGCAATGTTTTTGAAAATCTGCTGTTTACCAACATTTATCAGCGTGCGACATGCAAAAGCAAAAGCTACCTTTAACTCTCAAGCAATAATTGCTTTCTTTCATCCCTGTCTTCACAGGACAGGATCCACGTGGAGGATGGGGTCCTTATGGTGTCGCCGCTCACGCTATCTGATGCTGGCATGTACCAGTGTGTGGCTGAGAACAAACACGGCGTCATATATTTTGCGGCCGAACTAATGGTTTTAGGTAGGATGGCATTTATCTCCTAAATCCCCAAATCATTGTTACCAAAAGAATCTAAAGGTCATCTTACTGTTTTTCTTAAAGGTTGTCTGGCTTAGTGGATAGAGGGGTCAAGTGAGGATGATTTTGTGGTGTCAAACGCGTTTATATTTATTCTTCTTTTTTCTGACTTGTCTTTTTAGTGCCTTACAAAATGATTTTCCTTCTAAAATTCTTTTCTTCTCCTATGTTGTCACATTACAACCATAAACCTTTATGGGGATTTTATGTGCTAGACCAACACAAAGTGAAGCATTATTGTGAAATGTTGCTGATGTAATACCTTCAGAAGTCACCGAAATAGTAAATAGAGTAGCGAGAAGTTGCTATGGTTATTCAGACGGAGACTCATAGCTCAGGTGGAAAAAATATGTCTGTTGACAGGATAACTATAATTTGTTGGCTTCTCAGATCTGACCTCAATTGAAGAAACAACAAAAAGAAACAAAAAGCCATGGTTGTACGATGTCACACATGATTTGGCCTACAAAACTCTTATTTGTTGAAGAACTTACTGTGCTTGTCATCCTAAAACATGGCAATGATAGATTTATGCTGTGGAATACTTTTGTTTATAACATAGATAAGAAACCTGCGTCCTGCCAATGAACTCAACACGGATATCCTCTAAGAAAACATCTTAGAGGTGGCAAAAGACATTCACCAGGAGAACAAGTCTAAACTCTTCCACGACTGGAGAGTTGCTATTTATGGAGAGTTTCTGTAACGTTTGACTGTGATTAATGTCTTATGTTGACAAATTGTCGGCCTTAATTTGTTCAAATATGTTAAAGAAATTGAAGAAGTACCCTAAATACCTGAAAAAATTCAAAGGGTGCAGATACTTTTGCGTAGGTTTATGTAACTGGGACAAACAACAAACTTCCATCATCTACAAAGTTAAATTTTTATGCAGAATTTTTTCTTCTAATTTTTTATGCTTCACTTTAACTGATGCCTTTATTCAATGTGACCCAAGCAAGAGAAAATAAAAGTCGCAGCATTGTTACTCTCCGTATCCATTCCGTTCTCATTACAAATAATTAAAGCATCTGTCTCCATCTCTTCAACATTTATTGATTTTCACAGATTGAATTACAGAGTGCTTCAAATGCCTTGTGAGATCTCCTGCAGCCTTGTGCTAAAAGACAGTTTGCTTTCACCCCCACCACCATCAGCTTCTCCTCCAGACTTCACGGGGAATGTCCTCAGAGCTTTGCTCAAAGCCAAAGCTGGAACAACGGTGACGTTGGACTGCAAGCCCCAGGCCTACCCGACAGCAAGCATTTTATGGAAGAAGGGGAACCTTCCTATCCACACCAACGACAGGTAATCAACTAGTTAGCGGCCGTCCATGGGAATGTCATTAGGACAGCACTTTATTCCCACGCTCTGCTCACTTCATCTGATCAATAGTGACTCCAGATGCAAACAGTGATTAACTATATGCAAGTGTGGAGCACAGAAAGAAATTAAATCAGTGTTTATGCATTGATAAAATGCTGATTAGACAAGTTCCAGTTGAAGGAAAGGATTTACCTACAGTTTATAAAGACGCCTAACTTTTTCCCGTCCTTTTCTGACCTTAGATCAAACTTTCTTCCCTACCAGAAGTTTAAGTTGCTTAAAAGAAGCTTGACTTTGTAACATAATCATATTTTAAAATTGGCCTCCGTCTCTTTAAGAACCTCCAGTACAATAATCCTTCTTTATCCATTTGCGTTGTTTATAACCATTATTGTGAGCATTTTAATTTGTATAATAAGCTCAGCAGATGCCTAGTTCCACCAGGTGTTTAAGTGCTGCTGCCACTAGTCTAGTGGAGCTGAATGGGGAGTGGTGCTCTGCGGGGCGGGAAGAAAAAAGGAAAGAAAACCATCCGCAATGTGACAGTAGCTGGATCATATGTGGATATTTTACTGCAGATTCACTAGAGTTTATCTTGGGGACAAATGGGTCTTTGAAATATAACCATAACTTTAACCACATCACTAAAATAGCTACAAAGAACTCAAAAGACAGCAAAGCTAGCTATTACAAAGCCTTCATCCCAGTCATTTAGAATATTTGCTGTCAGAGCTGAAAAGGTGGATGTGAGCAAGGCAGCCTTCAAACCTTTTTTGCAGAAATGGGCCAAAATTCTAGCAGAGTCATGAGAAGGTAGAATAAGGATACAATTTATTCCAAGTCATATAGCTTAAAAAGAAGTGTTATTTTGTCATCTAAGCTTCTACAGTTTTATGTTTAAAGGCAAAGTAAGGTTAGTGTTTAGGTATTTATGTAAACTTGATCATTACAGGAAAATGACAAAAACTATTTTGAACTAAAACAAAAAAAAGTTTATTCAAATTGTGTGTTTACGCATCTGGTTTTCAGCTTTAAGATGTGGCTGTCTGTTTGCCTCCACCTGCACAGGATCACACTTTCTCCAGACGGAACTCTGAAGCTGGCCAATGTGAGCAAGTCGGACGCAGGCAGCTACACGTGCTTCGCCAGGAACAGATTTGGGATGTCAAGCACAACTGGAAGGCTCCTGGTTACGGGTGAGCTGCGTTGTTAAATAGCACTCCACTTAGTAAGCACAATTCACTGCTCGGTGTGCGTCAGCACAAGAAGGAGCTGCTGCATTTAGGTCATTCACTGATTGCAACCTTTTACATTTTGCTCTCTGAATTGTGTTTAGCAGAAAGCGTTTTTGCACACTTTGGCAAAAAGCTGAATTTTTTTTTTTCTTCTTGCATAATCAAAACGTGTTCTGCGACTCGAAGGGGCTTGTCTTTCAGGGGTTTTGTGAGGCTGCAATAATCCACTCGGAACGTATTTGACAAAGTACTTGAACACTGTTTTCCTCAAAGCAGCTGAAACAACCAATTTACTGCAGCAAATGAAAGTGCCTTGAGTGGAAACAGTGAAAGCATTAGTGAGGTGGTGTCACAGATGCTGTTATTGTTGAACATGCGTTTCTCTTTTTTTTTTTCTTTTCGCCTCAGGAGTGATTCCTGGGTTTCTTATTGGTTTTGTTAATGTGCTGAATGATATTGTCTGCCTCTGTGATCGCCAAGGCCAGTTATTTCTATAGATGACTTGAGTATTTATCATTGACACAAACCAGTCAGTGATGCTCGGCTCTGACCGAGACATTGATTCTTTACCAGCGCTTTTTCTCCTTGACATTCAGCGTAAAGATGTAAGAGTTCAAGTTCTCTTCCTTTGTGCTCCACCTTCTTTCTCTGATTTCCTCTCTTTCATTATCTTGCCTTTTTGAAGCTCAGAGGACTTCTCTAAATCATTGCTTTAGTGTACTTTAAAGAGGCGCTCCTCGTTTCCCGTACCAGATCTACACCGGAGCCTATTATGTGGGGTTTTATCTGATCAGGAGCGCATTGCAATTTCCATCAGGATTTCAGAAGATTATACAATCTGTGTCATCCTATTACCCATTTTAGAGGCGGCAGGCTGCATGTAATCACACAGTATTTGACTGGGACCTTTCTGTGCAAAGACAACATGGCTAAGCCTGTGACTCACTGTTGTACGGAGCTTGTTTTCCAGAAAGTGTTGCATCTCTGCTTCTGTTTTCAGTGAAATCAACAAAAGGTCTGCTTTTCTGTTTGCAATGAAACACCTCGTTTATTGTTAAAGTCTGGCAGCTATGCTTCAGACTTTTCTCTTTTTTTTTATGGCAGATCCAACCAGAATCATTCAGGGACCAGTGGACATGGAGATTATTGTAGGGGAGAGCATCGTGCTGCCCTGCCAGGTGGCCAGTGATCCTGTCCTGGATGTGTCCTTCTCCTGGGCATTTAATGGACAGCTCATCACCAAGGGAGACGACCACTTCGAGCTTGTAGGCGGCGTGAGTGACCCTAAGTCATACATATTTTGAGTTACTCTTTAATAACTCAAAATATTTTTTTCACCGAATTGGTTTCAGTGTTAAAGTAGTTGTAGAATTTGACTTGCATCAGTTCCTTTTGTTTTCTCTGCCATAAGCAATGTCCTCAGCATGCAGACGTGGTGTGTCAGCTTAGCTGAGCTAGAGAAATGAAGTTTCATTGAAAAATGGAGGTGGGCTCATAAAGACTGACAACCACTCAAATGTTAAGTGTCGTATTTAAAACTCCTGGACACGTTTCATTTTTTAGTCGGATAATTTTGAACAAAAAAAAAAAAGAAGACAACATCTAACTAAATTGAATACAACATTACTCTTGTTTTCCTCCTGTTTATTCTTGACACATCAAAAAAATATGCCCCTAATACTTTCTAGGAAACAACGTGCACTGGTGGGGTCTTGTCAGAAGCAATTCTTTTCAATGTTTCTGAATTGAAAACACATACTGGTCTCATTACATTCCAGTTTCTCTAGCAGTTCTTCTTCTGCTCTACTCGAGGGGCTCTTCTTCTTTTGTTGTGTCGCAGCACCGGTTGTGGTTGGATAGTTGTTCAAAATGGTTAAGAAAAGAAAAATCTGTATCTGACCCAAAATCATTGTAAGGAAAATTGCCAAAAAAACTTATTGTCTGGCAGTCAATTTCTCATGAGATTAGCTACTCTAGTCTGCATGAAAATATGCAGAATGATTTATAGCTTATATTTCAAAGTTGTGTAAAACAATTGCATAGTGAACATTTTAGGGTAGCCTGTGGTAAATGTGTTTTGATGTAGTAAGTTATTACTACACTTTACTTGCTGACATGACTGGACAACTCCACTTGGCCAAAATCCAAAGATCTTTTTTGATGCTTTAATGAACGGCATATCCAATGTGCTTTCCTCTGATTTCGCTAATCAAAATTTAGGTCATTCAGTAGCGCTCACAGCTGATCTTTTACACTGAAGCACCATCTGAAGTTAAACACCATCAGCGTCGTCAAATAGTGCTAAGAAAAGCTGTGGTAAACTGCTCACATCAATCAGAGACCAGCCAGTGCTATAATCATCCACAGAGATTCAAATTAAAATAGATACAGATGCATGAATTAATTGGGTGTGAAAGTCTTGACTGAGTGACAGATAGCTCCCAGGTGACTGGAAGTACATTTAATCTAAGCTAAAAGCTAAGCATCAGACTTGGTTAAGCACTGGAGCCAATTTTGTGGAAAAACACTATTTCCTTTCTGATATAAGCGGTCAGTTATAGCTTTTATTATTATATTAGGCTACATCCACTCTGTGAGAGAGAGAGAGCAAAGGAGAGAGAGAGAGAGAGAGAGAGAGAGAGAGAGAGAGAGAGAGAGAGAGAGAGAGAGAGAGAGAGAGAGAGAGAGCTATGCTGGAAAACAGGTTTTTAGAACTTAAAAATTAAGACAAAATGATTCAGGGGTGACATTTTGAACTGGTTCAAAGGCCTGGTTTTAACATTTACCATTAAGACGGAGATGCAGAATGACATGGTAAAACTGTAGACTGAAGAGATCTTTCATTGCCACTTTTGTTAGACTGATAAATTTCTATATGAGAGGACTCTGCTGATTCTCCCTGCTTTTGATCTATGCTGAAATTCATAGCTTTTTGCATTTTTCTTGTTTGTTTGTTTCTTTTTCTCTTTCTTAATGTGTGTTTATGCAAATTGCTTTTCAAGGACAATAAAGTCCAGTTGAATTGAACTGATATCACATTAGTTTAGCAATCATGTTTAGTAGGGTTAGCATTACAAACTCTAAACAAAATCCTTTATGTTTATTTCCTGAAAGGATAAACATTTTGAGTTTATATCCATTTTCATGCTTAGGCTCCCTGTTATCTGCTGATGCCAGCTCAAAGTCATTAAACTTGTTGGCCATTTCAATGAAACCTTTCTCTCAGTTGTTTCCACATTTTATTTAAGACCGTTTTAGTATTTACAAATTAAAACCTTTAATATGGTTAAATAAGACCATTATGTTCTAAATTTAAGACATAAATAAATTGTGAAGAATTAGTAAGTTAATCAGGCTATTCAATAAGTTAAATAAGTAATCAACTTATTTTGATGTTTTTGACTTCAGCAAATGACTTTATTGCTTTTGTGTTTAAGTTTCCTAAACACCTTCAATAGATTAGCAACTCACGAAGCTGGTGGTGGATCATGTGTTAAGAATGTTTTCATTTCAGTGAATTAAATAAACCACAGAGCAGATTTCTTTCACAGGTTTGCTGGAATGGCTAAATATGAGTGTATTACCACCTGCATTTGACCTGGCCTTGTCAAAGCAGAATTCTTTGGAAAAACATATTTTTCTAGGCCTGCAAGAAATTAATTTGTATTTCAAAGCATGAAATGAGGTCGAACTGCAGAGGCAACCAACACAAATCTAAGATAACTGTGATAATTAAAAGCATGATTTCTTTAAAACCTGTTCAAACACATATGGTGAAACTCAACCAGTTCTGGGAAGTTTCTTGGGTCTCCCTGTTTTAATGTGCAAATGGGCACATCTTTGTCTCCATTTCTACCATTAAGCTAAAATACGACCAGCTTACGAGCGTACGGTCAATTTCTTGGAAGTACTAACAGTGGACAGTATTGCTGCAGCCAGTTTGACATCATTCATTTTACAACTTTAAATGTCTCCTCTGAGGCATAAAAAACCAGCGTGGTTCGGTGAAAGTCTGTGGAAGGAAGTGCAAATAGATTATTGAAGTCCTATGTGCTTCCAATTGTATTTCCGTGAATGGAAACAAGTCAGTCGCTCTGCTGAAATGCAGTTCCCATATAAAAGTCATTATGTAGGTAATGCGCCAGGTGTTCAGCCATTGTGACAGGTGGAAATCACTTTAAGTAGTCTTCTTCAACTCCAGCTCAGTCTCAGCTCAGCTCATCTGCTTTTTAATAAGCCCAGGTTCGCCTTGAATTCTGCTTTGACATGGCCTGCTGCACAGCCTCGCTTAACAGGAAGTGGATGCACATCATTAGACGTGTCTTCAGAAGGAATCAAAGCGTGGCAAACACTCAAATGACAAAACATTTTCTGTACGTCTTCGCACCCTTGAGACCAGACATTCTTTCTGGCTGCATCTCACTGACAGTGTTCTTATAAGAAAAGAGAATCCTTACCCAGAAATACCAGAATGTCTTCACTCCAAAGAGATTATCAACTAAACTTTGCTGCTTCGGGGAATTTAATTTCCATAATTAAACCACGTTGAGTCTGCTGCCATATTTCTTTGTTTTGCTGCCAAAGCCAGTAGAACAATTTCACCACTAATTTACTGTTCGCCGCTTTCGGGTGTTCACTTAGATGAAAAGGTAGACGATCTGTTTTTCCTATGTGTGTGGAGGAACTGCTTAAATTCATGCTTTTTTTTAAAACTTTAATATTATTATTTTTTGCAACATATCTTTGAAGTGCAGATGACCTTTTGAAATCTTGGAAAAAAAAAACAAAACAAAACAGCAACCTTGTCAGAAAAAGAAAGTCTTTATAAACATGTTTTGGGAGTAATTTTTGATCTTGCTTTACATTTCAGCTACTTGTGATCTGCTCTGACCACACTTACTTCAACATCACTCCCTCTCAAAACCTGCAAATATTCACAGCTTCGCTATTTACTGCAGCTTATACATACTTCAGTACTTTCTTTAATAAGCTGCCCCGGGGTCTGTTATCTCTCATGCTACATAAAGCCCTCTCTCCTCCTTAGCAGAGAACAGCCGGAGATCTGATGATCAGAAACATTCAGCTTTACCACGCCGGCAAATATATCTGCGTTGTGGACACAGACGTGGAGAGCCTGTCGGCCGTAGCTGTATTGATTGTAAAAGGTAAGAAAACCTTCCCTCTGCTTGGAACTCTCTAATTAAAACAGGACTTGCAGCCAGGGTTTTTAATTGGTTTCTTTTTTTTTTTTTTTTTTGGAAAGGAAGAAAAATACAAAAATGCCAGTCTTTATTGCAAAGTTAATGATTGATTTAACTTAAATAGAAATGATTTATTTAGCTTGTAGCAGGTACCAAAAGGTGAGTTTTCTTTTCAGGTACCTGTTTCACAAGCTAGAATATTTCTCTTCCACTTACAAAAATTTACCCCAGACAGTGATACTGTTGTGCTGGTTCTGCTTTCGTTATCACCCTGAGCTTTGTAAAGAGAAGATGCTAATCTATTTGAATTTGGAAAAAAAAAATCACCAACCTTTAAAGTCGAATGCCTGCTTTTTTGAATCCGTGGTGACAGGAGGTAAATTCAGTGGTCAATATTCAAAGGTTTAAAGTATTCACATTTTGCACCATGTGTTAAGCACTAATGAAAAATAACTGCAGCCCTTCAGAAATGAGTGTCAGTGAGAGATTTTACATTTAAATGACGAATGGTAAACCACTGCTGCACAAGGTCAGTGTTCATTTGAGATATTTGAGACAAATTTAAGCTAAGGATAATCTGTAAATCAACTTTAGGTCATTTTATAGAGTGGAACCACCGTTTAAAATAATCTGTAGATTTTACAACATCAGGCTGTAAACCCAATCAACAGTTTCCTATAAAATCAGCACAGTTAAAGGTTTAAATGGGTTTTAGATTAACTTTGCAAAAGGCTTCATTTTCCTTTGGACATTTGACATTCCTCGGCTAAGGTGAGGAGCATTGACTTTCAGCATCAGCCGAGATAACATTCATAAAGTAGGAGCGGAAACACAGACTGCAAAAACACCCAGGAGACATTAAGGGTTCAATCTTAAGGGTAATTAATGGTATTTTTAAGTATAAATATGAAAGTTTTAAGGTTCAATGTTCAAAAAACCCAGGATCAGAAGTACCAAGGGTGTATTGAGTTTTGTGATTCAGAATTCCAAATTAAATAAAGGTGTTAATTAAATAATTGCATGCATTTAGAACTCTGACTTTGAAATTGGTGTTGTGCTCAATCACTAGTTCAGATTCAGTTTGTTATTAAAATACTGCAAGAGTTATATCATGCCCCTTTTTAGCTGCACTTCAGATAAGTTGTATCTTGTTAAACCACATTGTGTCTGAAAGGACTTTTAATATTTCAATGCAGAGAATAGAAACTCATATTATTTAGCCTGGTCACTGAGCACAACAAATAGCACATTTTACAGGTTTTCCAACTTGAACTCAGCATAATATCATTCCCATACCCGAGTTATGACTTCCGAGAAAAATGAAATGCAGCTTAAGTTTGGGGGATAAAAGTTCAGAATAGCATAATGGAAACTCTTCTGAAGTAATGGAAAGATTTAGGAGGTTTTCCAAACTGCAGACTTTCAGGGCATCTGGGTTATTCAACTTAAATTGACTCGCGTTGGTTTAGTGATTGTATGTGTTTCTTCAAAGTTATTCTGAAAATCATGGGAAAACAAAGTTTTCCTTGTCTGTTTATATTTAATAAAAACTTATTAGTTTTCACTCACATGTTTTACCAAAGCATTTTAAATTTTTTTAGAACAATAACAGTTAATATTTTACACTGTCTTTGTTTCTCTGCTTCCTTTTAATGACTAATATCCAATATTGCGTGTAGCGAATGTACCTGACAGCAGAATGTGTTTGAAGAATATCTTGTTGTTGTTCATGTAGTATGAATTTCTCCAGAGAGACAGCTGTGGAAAGCCACACTTGGCAGAACAAAATAACTTTTGCTAAGAGGAGTCACAGCTTCTGTTTTAAGGGGCCGTGTTTTAATGGAGGGGCGAGAAGAGATTGTTGTTTCCGGCTGAGATCAATAGCAGCCTTGCAAATTGACACAACGCAAATGTGCTAAATGTCAGATGAGGTGAGGGATGATCTCGCTGTCAGGATTTGAAAAGGTTGGATCCATAACTTTATCATGTAAGCATACCTACCATTCATACTATTCAGCCTGGCATGTTAAAGATATTTTAAGGCAAATTGCAGTAATGAGCTGTGAGAAGTAAGGCAAAAAAAAAGAAAGAAAAAATCTTGCTTTTCAAGTCGAAGCAGGAACATGGCAGGGAGAATAGATTGGCCTAGAACTCACTGGAAACAAACTTGACTGTGACTCAGACTGTGCATTATTTACACTTCCTGCTCACGGCAGCTGTCACGGATGTCTCATGGTTTGGATTGAATAGCTTCAAAAAAGGCATGAAGCTGGAGTTAGAGAGCCAGCCATGGGAAGGAGGAAAATGTCTTTATTTGATCACCGCAGACCTTTAACAAAATGGCAGAAGGCTGCATGCATGTGTGTCGAATGCACGTGTTGGCCCGCTTCCATCACCTGTGTGAGACACAGAAGAATAAAACCGAAAGAAAACAACCCACCATCGATTCATTGGTAGGTTTACACATAGCTGCATGGGCCATTTTAAATATTTTTATCAGCTCTTTTGTAAGCTTATGCATACAAACTTCCCAGAGGGTCAAAATAAATGTGCGAGCGAAATGATTCACTAGGCAGAGTGGTTTGAGATGAGTCATGCATTTGATATGTTGAGTCTTCTCAAAGTTGTGCTTTAGTTTATCTTCAAACACTAAAGTAATTGAAATATTCCCAGAAACACGCATCTGGAAAAAGCTGGTCTTTGAAAATGAATCTCTTGAAGATTTGATTGTGTCACAGTAGAGTTTTGTTGTAGAGGATCCCGAGTGCAGAGACTTATTGCATATAATGATAATAAGAAGAAGAATAAACAAAACAACATTCTCAAAGATGATCACGGGGAAACAGAGGCACAAAGTGAAGAGTGACAACAGGCATCGCGGCAGACATAGTAATTGTGAAAGTAATGGGAGGAACAGTGAGGAACAATGTGAAGTGATGAGATTATATACACTGAGGGAGCGGTGGAACTGACAAAGCAACCAGAAGAATTAATCACAGGCAAATGGAAACAGCTCAGGGAGAGTGCAGATGTAAGGGGGAATCAGGAGGTAGATGACAGCTGTGAATGGGAGCAAACTGCCAGGCAGTGGGGAGGTTAAATAATAAACACAGACAGGCTGAACTGGGGTTCAAAGCAACAACAAATCAATGGGGGAAAGAATCAAACGCAGCAAAATCTGAAAGAACAGAATTTAATACGAAGGAATGCACAGATACAGAAATACATTGAAAGCAATTCTGATGAACTGAATAGAATTAGGCCTGTTGACCAAAAACAAAGAATCAGAAACGTAAATGAAACCGAAACACCAACAAATCCTAACATTAACTTTGTCCAAGCAGTTTAAGATTGAACCATTTAGACAGGAGTGACCAATTTTGTAGTCTTGACTCTGAATGCAAGGATTTTCTAGCCTATTCCCTCACTCCGGTTTGCATAAACACCACTTTTATCTAATTATGATTTATTTTTAAGAATTATGAATAGGATGATGCAAGAAGAACAAAGTATTTTTTCCTAGCCTTCCTGCTGTGAGCATGTGTGAGAGCACGGTCACAAGAGAAGGTTTTTTTTTTCCAATTGAACACAAAAGTAAAATGATTAGCTTAATTAACTGAAAACACCTGCAAAGGTTTCCAGATCATTTCAAATGTCTCTCACTCTGGGATGGAAGGATACACAGTTATGGAGAATTGACACCCTTCACAACAAGGGTGAACCACAAAAGGGTATTAATGGGCTCTGACTTCAATTGCCTATCAATTATTTGGATAATTCCTTTAGCTATGTTTGGTTTTGTCATTTACATTGTAATTTTTAGGTAAACCTGTTTGAGTCTTGGCAAAACATTCCACTTCTCTTACTGCCTAAGAGCCTACATTGCATTTTGTTTTCTATCTCCATTGAGTCATCCATTCTACTTTGCTCCACTTGACTGAATCAGAGCAAATAATATTTTGCTTCACAGCTCACAGTGCATCTCGTGCTTTTGAGCACTTGACAAAGAATACTCTGAAGAACTATAATTTTCTTACCCCCTCTTAAAATTGGATTCTCTCAGAGAGATTTCAAAGCCTGATGAGTCTTTGTTTTCTCATCCCTCCTTTTAAATAATCTGACTCAGCTTGAAGGCTACTAATGAATGCGTGGCTGTGTTATATGCTGATGCAGTAAACCACCTGGCAGACTACTTAATTACAAAAAAAGAAATGGAAAAAGGTTCATCTCACTGACCTTCACTTCTTTTGTTTACACGTTAGATAAAAAGATCCATTAAGGAGCCCCTTAATGGTACTAATGATCATTGAAAAGAAAGATCTAATTGAGGTTATACATACTCCTTCCTATTGAAATAAAAGGCAATTACATTTGTTCGGTTTTTATTCACTAGAACAAGGTGCTGTGTTTAAGGCAGCATTTATATTACAAATGCAAATGCTGCCTTCAGATTGAGAGATATTAATTAGCTTTGCAGTATCACTTGATTTGGGAGGTAGATCTTATATTATAGCTAAGCATTTGATGTGAGCGATAAATGTGAAATGAAATATTTGCCACCTGTCCAGCCTTGTAAACAGTGGAAGATAAAGTCTACATCAGCACTTACTGATTTGTGAAGCGCCAATAGCAATTCTTTCGTGTCAAGGCTAATTTCAAGCTGGTGTGATGCTATAACCATTTCATTTTTTGCAAAGAGCTTCAATTAAAAGCAGTCTGTATTTTTAAAAAGATGATTATTTAATAATTTGACTGTAATACATTTATAGTAAGTCAATTTTTTAAAACTGTAATATCTCATTATTGAGATTCTTATTGGTGGCACATTAGAAATCTGCGAATGGTGAAATCCTCTTGACTACTGTCAGAAGGTTTTGTGTATACAATATGTTGCAGCTTAACTGTTTTATCTTTTTTTTTTTGTAGACGCAAGAACACACAAGTCAAAATTATGGCATACGTTCTTTTGAATTTAAAATAAAGTGCAGGTCAGTCCAGGACAAGGACTGATTTACAATTAGATGTGTTAAATTGTTGAATTATCCTTTCATTTTATGGTCACTATAGAGTTTAATTTAGGAAACCTTCCTGATTTAAACGGTCATTAATTATTTCTATTAGGAGCAGAGGTGGTGTTGGAGAAGAGTCACTGCGCTGGATGCAGCTCTACTCTAAGAAATCATTCTAGGCTATTAATAAAACATTGATAAAATGATTACAGAGCAGTTGTTTTTATCCTGTCTTTCAAACATTTTGTTCATGATTCGTGAGGCTAGCATATCTGGTTGTGAAAAAGTAGCTAGTGCTTTCGATAGCAGTGGATATTCATGGACAAGAAAGAAATCAGACTTTTTAACGTAACAGTGAGATTGCGTTGTCACTACAAATAATACACAAAATAATTTTTCACTGTTTAAAATAAAATCAAACCAAAGTTTTGGGGTTTAGGTCAATCAGTGCTACCAAATTCATTGCTATTTGGTAAATGGTGACATAATGAGAGTGACGATTTTCTTTCCATTCAAAAGTTTACATCAGTTTCTACTCTGTTTTCCTTTTGTATTTCCCCACGACGTTACAGAAGAAAGAAATGTATTAGACGTGTTTCCTTGAAAACATGTACAGGTTGGCCTTTAAGCGACTCTATAAAGCTGTAAATTAATAAAAAGTTTTAAACCTTTAAAAAGAGTAGGAAAAATTTTCTGACATCTTATGAAAGGAAATAATTTTTGGTAATCCTGACCGTTCCAAGTTAAGATTTAATGTCATGAATCGAGAAAGAAAAGGTCATAGGAGCAAGGTGGTGCAGTTGAATTTGGAAGAAAAAAAATCTAAATTATTCTTCTCACATATAAGCCTTTCCAAATGCAATCAAAAAATATTGACTTTCTTGCCAAAGTAGATGAAAGCTCATTCATTAACCCGGTGGCAACAACTCATGGAGCTTATCAGTCGTAATCATTTTCTGTTTTGATTATTACAGTCTGAGTAAAGAAACAAACAATACATGTTGCCCTTTGTAGTCACAGCAAATGCAATTACCAGTGTTATTTGCGCATTTCTCTTTATAATCCTCTATTTTAGTCATGTTTGTGTGATTTTCAGTCTTGTTTTTGGTCCCCTCCCCTCGCCACACTTGAAGGTCAGTGATAATCACTTCTGACACAAAAGGCTCCTGAGTGATCATCCAGTTGCTTGTTTTCCACAATAGCAGCGGTTAATGCTTCAGATGATGCCTCACAAACGCTCCTCCGGATGAGGAGGACGGCGATGAAGAAGGTCGCTGTATAAAGATAACATCGTGGTCAATAACATTCAAAGCATTTGGAGGACGCTCCTCGCATTAGTTTGACAGCCGCATCCCCATCGTGGCCCTGAAAAAAAAAAAGAGGCACGTCAGTCATTCTGTTCCGTTTACTGCTTGAGATTTATCATTGTTTCGGCACTCTGATATTCAGGGCTGACAAGAGAGTGTGTACATTTCACAAAGTTGGGTGAGATTCAAATCAAATCAGCATAATTTTGCTGTCTGCCTGTGCAGAGTGAGAAATAAAGACCTAGACTGACATTCATGTCCTCATGTTAATGAGAGATCATTGAAACGCTCCAGGGAGACTCGCTGCATCCTGTTGCCTTCAGCCAACCAAATATAATTAAGAGGATAAGGAATTGATCCTTGATTGTCTAGCCCATTAATATGTATTAATGAGGCCAGCATATTAAAGTTTTTTTTTTTTTGTTATTGGGAGCCAGTAATGAGTTTTAAAGTGATCAATATCTCTAAAGCCACAGCTTTAAGGGTAAATATTTGTGGGCAGTACAATAAAGGTGTAAGCTGTAGATCAGTTACTTGTTGAAGATCACTATTTTGTTTTTTTGTTTTTTACTCAGACTGTTTATTAAAATCAAGTCTGTAATTGAAATGTTTAGCTTTAAATTAGGAGTCGTTTCTCTGAGCAGAGTTGATAGCATTTTTTTATTATTATTATTATTCAGCAGTCTGACTCACTGTTCTTCAGTGGTCCATTATTTCTGATGAGCCAACACATCCAATAAAACAGGGAGCTAAAGTAAAACATCACACCGCTTAATTGGTGGGATAATTCAAATAAATGATAAAACTTTGGCTCCTCAGGGCTGCTAATGGCCCTGTCTTCATCTTTTAGCTTTTAATTTGACTCCCGGCTCCTCCGCTGTTTCAATCGATCCATTACCGGGAGGACCATGAAAGGCAGGGATTACATGTTGGGGTGGGGAAAGAGAAGGATAAATCCTGAATTAACTTTTAATTCCTCGTGAAGGGCGCTGCTCTGGAGCCGCGGAGCATTACAGTTTGGGTTTGGATGTGTGTTTTCTGACGATTGTTTGCGGTTGCTCGCATTTTTTTCCCTGCAGAAGGTGGAAACACACCCCACACCCTCTTGCCGGAGAGCCGTCGTCTGTGCATCCTCTGCAATGTGCGACTTCCTCACGGTGTCTGTTCCCTGTGTTTGAGCCAGGTCCTCCCAGCCCCCCGGAATCAGTGACGGTGGAGGAGGTGACAGACAGCACGGCCCAGCTGGCGTGGAGCCCCGGCAGAGACAACGGCAGCCCCATCACCAGCTACATCATCCAGACAAAAACTCCATTTACTGTGGGCTGGCAGCGGGTTAATACAGGTAGATCTATTTGCATCTTGAAGCATATTAATTGATGTGTAATATGCCTGTAAAACTTATTTTATTACCTTTCAAATTCTTTTCTAACAAGAAGCCGCATTTAATGTATGTGCACATAAATTCAATTGCCATGCCATTGAGTCATCAATTTTTAGCTGGTGTTTCCTTCTTGTTTTTTCAAATAAAGTGAATGTAATCAAGTAATTTCACGAAAGAGAAGTCAATCAAACACAAGCATTCTTCAGGACAAAATACGCCCTTCGTATGTGGGATGTTTAATGTTTTGTGCACTCGGCGTCCTCAAACTCCGTTAGCATCTTCACCAACACTTAGTGAGAGTGGAGACCCAGAGCAGAATAGATTTCTGCCAAGTTCACATGACTTTAATCTTAAAAAAGCATCTTTATGGTTCTTTGCAAAGGCTTTTAAAGCATCGTGATGTATTTATTAAATGAAATCTGACAAAGAATGTGAAAGTTATTTTCACCACGCAAATAAATCAATGTACAATAAAAGTAAATAAATACAGACTACAAAAGTGAGAAAAAAGGAATAAAAATGGAATACATTGGGTTAAGTAAATACAGAAAATTAAAAAATGTCAAATTAAATAAGAATATTTTCAGATGGAATATTTTGCACAATACTTGCCTTATGAAGGCATTTATTTATTTCTATCTCTATACTCTGCATATATTATTAGAAATATTACAACATTTTGCAGACCAATTTCCTATTTACAGCTACAAAATGTCGGATGTCAATGCTCCTTATCCTCCCCACAAGCTGCAAACTGAATTGTTAATGCAATGGCAATAACGTTTTTTGTAGACATCAGTTTTTTTTAACATTTTGCTTTGGTTTGTCGTTCTCTTTTATGTGAAGGACGTCAAATGAAAATTTTTCGTTGTTGGTTTAAATGAATGTATTTATCTCTGTGGTGTTCATTTAGTCAGAATATCTAAGCAAGCACAAAAAACTCAAGTGTAGCTCTTGCAATAATAGTTTTCTACTGCAGTGAGATATTATGTGAAGTTAAGTGACTTTCTAAACGTACTTTTGACCTTCGTGGGGTTTTTTCTATTATTGAATGCTATAACAGAGGTTCTTTATATTTATGCATTACATTAGTGACCTTATCTGTAACATACAGCCGGTTTCTATCATGCTGTCTAATTTCTTCTAGTTCCAGAGGTAATTGATGGCAACATACACACAGCTACCGTGGTTGATCTGAATGCCTGGGTCGAATACGAGTTCCGGGTATTGGCCAGAAACGGCGTTGGAGTCGGGGAACCCAGTCCCGTGTCGGTGAAGACGAGAACAGAGGACGCAGGTGCAGTGAATTTCCTTAACATCGAGCGCTGCTGCTGCTTTGTTTGGCATACATGTAGATGAGTTGGACAAGTTGTTTTGTTCTGCAGTTCCAGATGCAGCCCCAGGTGATGTGGGTGGAGGGGGTGGAAGCAGATATGAACTGGTCATCACATGGGAGGTAAGTCATCAGTCTTATGTTCTCCTCTATCTGTTCCTGACTGTGTTTACAGTCTGTCTTTTTTATCCTTGCGCGAGGTCAAGGGAAGTCCGATGACACATTTTGATTTTATTTATTTTTGCATCATTAATATAGAGGAAATGCTCGTTTCCAGTTTGTCAAAGTATTTATGTCCCTTGAAGCCTTCCATAATCTGTTAAGTTTCGTCCTCGGCATGTATTCTGCTGTGAATTTATGTCACAAACTAACATGATAGTTTAATTGTAAAGTGTAGTCACAAAAATGCTTTTTCTTTTTTGAGACAGGGGGTTTGTACAAATTGAAATTTTGGAAAACGGGGCACACATTTGTATACTAGTACATTGTAGAATCTGTTGTTTTGGGGTTGTGTTGCTGCCAGAATTGTACATTAAAAGACAGAAGTGTTCACCTTCTCTTCTTTGTGAAGAAAAGGTGATTTGTGATTTGTGGGTAGCAAATTTTAACAATTTGCTACCCACAAGTTATCAAATGAATTTAGGTCTGGACATTGTTTTAACCATTCTAACCTATGAATATGCTTTAGTTTTCTTTGTCTCACTGACCTCCAGCTGTATGAGTTGAGTTACTGGCCTACTTCAAGGAAAACCTCATCCGCAGTCCGGAGCTCTGTATTCTCTGTCGCGTATTTTTGCCCATCTATCTTACCACTAAGCAAGGTGTAAGCTTTACTGTTCTTGTCGTAGAACTGCAACCCAGCAGCATGATGCTGCCAGCTCTATGTTTCAGTGTATAAATGCTCTCTTTCAGGATAATCAGATTTGTTAAATTATTTGCTTGGTGATTAAAAAGTTGAACGTGTTCAGACCAGAACACATTTGGTATTTTCCCTCTAAACACAACGTCTTCTTGCATTCTTTCAACAATGACTTTCTTCTTGCTACTCCTCTATAAAGCCCAGATTTGTGGAGGCACCATTTATAGTTATCATTAAAACAGATTCACCAACCCGAGCTGTTGGTACCTGCTTCTCCTCCATAGCTACCACAGGCCTCTTGGCTGCTTTTCTTCTTTTTTTTTTTACTAATACTCTCCTTGCCTGGCCTGTCAGTTTATATACACGGTCATATATTGATAGGCTTTTATCATTGGTTGCCATTTTCCATTCAGGTTGTATTCGATTCTGTCTTTCAATATTGGGAATACTGATTAGGGAGTGTAAAGTGTTGAAAGCTTGGCATCAAAGTTCTCTACAATTTTTATTCCTGGCTTGTCTGTTGTGTTCATTGGTCTTTAAGAGGTTTCTGTTTTCTAACATTCTCAAACGAACCCTGGAGGCATTCACAAAAGAACTGTATTTATAATTAGGTTAAATCCCAATCAAGTGGATTCGGTTTGCTCTACATGTCGAGCTGAAGATTGTCTTTCGGGGTGTCGGATTAAGGAGGCATGGGAACAAATTCACACCATATTCTTTTTATTTTTTTTTTAATCCTTCACTTTTTCTTCCTCTTTATTATGTATCACTTTGTTGGTTTGTTGCATAAAATACAATTAACGTGTTGTACTGCAGAAAATTTTGGAAAAGTTCAAGGGGTGTGAGTACTTTTGTGAGATGCTGTGTATAGTCTATAAAGATACGATCAGTTTCAAATTACTGCAGCTCATTCAAGTCTACAGTGATTAAGTCTGCCGCTGAAATAAACTAGCTTGGTGGCTGTCAAATAAGATTAAGCTCTGAGTCAGCATGGTGATTTCCTATTTTGTTAAATGCAGATTAGCTTTTATTTTAAAAACTCCTTGCATGGTCTGTAATGAGCACTGAGGCCTTTTAAAATCCCATCTTGCTTTTCATTTCAATATATCAGGTAGCAGGTCACGGAAGCAATTTATGGGTCACGCACGCTTAAGTCTGCAGCGATTGAGCGCGGCCAGAGCCGGAATGAGTGTGACTGGTCTGTATATATTTTAATATCACTATAGTTTTGTGTTTCACTCTCAGCCCGTCCCTGAAGAACTGCAGAATGGCGAGAGCTTCGGCTACATCATTGCCTTCCGCGCCTTCGGAGAAGTCAGCTGGACTCACGTGGCCACCTCGGCCCCTGGCGCGTCCCGCTATGTGTACCGTAATGACAGCCTGGCGCCCTTCTCTCCATTTCACGTGAAGGTGGGCACTTACAACAGCAAAGGGCAGGGCCCCTTCAGCCCCGTGGTCACCATCTATTCTGCAGAGACAGGTAAGGATAGACATAATGGGGCAGGACTTAGCAAAGCTTGAAAGCTATTTCTCTCTCTGAAAAGGACACAGATCACAGAAGTGGTTTTTACTGCATCTGCTGCTTTAGGCTCTAGAAATCCTTTTTAAAGCAAGAGAAAGGCAGAAAATGTGAGGCACAATTGCAAGACATTTGTGTAAGAGCAGGTAGTGCTTTTTTCTCCAAATATCACCACTCACTTGAACGGCTTTACCAAGGTAAAAAAAAAAAAAACAGTTGGCATTTAGATCTATGCTCCCTCTCGGCACACACAGAGGCAGTCAGTTTGTGCCTAAGTGTGTGTCTATTTACTAGCAGGACATTTGTGCGGTGTGTCATCTGAGCCCTGATCAAGATTTGTAAATGTGAAAAAATTCACCAAAAAAATGTTCTCCGCTTGCCTCCGTGTTGCTTCGTCCTGACTGAAGTGCTCGGTCTCGTGTCATCTGTTTTTTCAGAACCAAGCGGAATGCCAGCAGGGGTTTGGACCCGAAGTGTCACAGCCTCTGAGATTGAGGTGAACTGGCAAGCTCTCACCATCACCCCTGAAAGGGTTCTGGGCTATGAGGTATCGTAATTTTTTTTTTCTTTTTTTCTTTTGCTCATATAAATGGAAACAGATATCAAGACGACACAATTGAAACCACCTGTCATCACCTCAGCTTGCACCTCAAATATGCCTCTTCCAAACTGCGTCGCCATGAAAATGGCATCCTCACATCCCATCTTCCTCTTCCTCTGACTGGAATTATACACTTCTTTGTATCAACATGACAGGAAAACATGTCAAACTTCTTTCGGGAGAAGAAAGGAAAATTACCCGTCCGTGGGCTCGCTTTAGACTGACTCTCATTTATGCAAAATCATGATACGCATGACCCCAAAGCGTCATGTCTGAAGACCGAGTATTTCACACCCCAAATTATAGTAACTATAGCAATGTGCTGTCTTTTGACTTTGATCCAAATACAAAATGGGATGGATCAATTTTGAACCTCAAAAAGCAGGTTGTGGTTGAGTTTACTGTCACAAACTGTGGTCACCTGATTAACATGTAAACTAAAAAGTAAGCTGTGTTTCTTTTTATACCGTACACAGAATATAGAAAGGAAAGTACGAATAGGCTGGATGCTCACTAACAACATCTATTGTTATTCTAATGGCAGTTTTTAAAGTGATACAAATGATTAATTATTGTTCATATCAATTTAAAATTTAATTAGTCAGACGTCAATTAGTGCAATTATTTAAATTTCATTCTTTATTTTGCAGTGCATGATGTATTAGAGAGTTAAATAATGGGCAATAAATCCATGAGTTGACTGACAAAATGTTAATTGATCTACTTGTTTTTCATCATTTAGCTGGATTGAAAGGGTGAACAGAACCTTAATTCAATGTTTTAACATGTTTTTCACTGTAGCCAAAGTGTTGGGTTTTGATGCCATCATCTTAGGCCGTGCTTTATTCCGTTTTAAGGACTGATTTTGCAAAAATAATCCTTAAAGAAATAGATAAAAGGAAATGATCCATGATTTCTGGCCTAAATTGCGTTGCCGTTCTTTCTCTGATGTTTTGCATAACTGAAGACTCTGCTGAAAAAACGATAAGGGAAGAAAATAAATGTGATGTGATTAATATAAAATGCTACATATTCTTATCAGAGGAGGGGATTGTGATGAAAGTGTTTTATTTTGTAATAAAATCATAAAAAAAACATTTTTATGTATTTATTTTATCTATTTATTTTAAATGTTTACTTTAAACAAACATTTAAAATAAATAAAATATTTATTTCAAAATAAATATTTATATTTATTTGTGGATCACTTGTGGATGATTAGAGGTCACCTCTCTAAGATACACCCAGCAGCATTATGTCAAAGTTAAGCTTTCGCATTTGAGCACATTTCACTCATATCTAAAAATATATATAAATATAATGTCTTAGAAAATTATTCATGACCGTGAAACTATTTTTCCTTTTTTTATACATATATATTTACTAACTGTTCAACCCAGAGCATTTATATATTTTATTGGGTTTTTTGTGTAATAGATCAACTCAAAGTAGAGCCTGATTCTGGGTTGAAGGCAATTTTAAACATATTTCTTGTGAAAGAAAAAAAAAACATTTTTAGCTTGGTCAGATTGGATTTTTTGGATAAATTTTGGTTTGCATTTAGGTCAGGAATTTCACAAGACCATTATTACAGGTGAATATGCTTCGATTTAAACCATCCCATTGTACCTTGCTCAAGCTGTCAGTTTTAATAAGCAACCCTAATTTTAGCCTTGTTGTCAGAAAGAAAACTTGCTTTTCCAGCTTCAAGTGTTTTGCAGCCTTTTAGTCTAACTCTGGTTCTCAAAAATGAAGTACCCTTGAAAAAACTTTCGAAATCCCTCACAGAGCCATTGTAATGGATAGAATTATACTCAGGCTCTGATTAGTAACTCGGTGACTGCTGCAGGCAATTAGTTACCACGGAAGCATCATAGTAATTGCAACTAAATGTAAACTTACACAACAAAAATGTTGAAAATCGTTCGTAATTTTTCTTCAACTTCCCACATATATGTCTACCATATAAAATCTTATTAAAAGGCATTGAAACGTGCGGCAATAATGTGGCAAAATGCAAAAAACAAAATTGTTCAAGCGGTAATAATCTTTTTCGTGAGGTAATGTAACATTTGCGTTGCATCTGCTCTTTGTTTTATAAAGGTGGTTTACTGGGAGGATGACACCAAACCAGAAACGATGGGGAAGGTTAGAGTGCCTTGGAACCAAACCTCAGTCACAGTAAACAACTTGGCAGGAAACGCGCAGTATTTTTTAACAGTTAGCGCCTTCAACACAGCGGGCACCGGTCCTTTTCTCCCTGCAATCAATGTCACCACAAAAAAGCCACGTAAGTTGCAGTGCTCAAAGATCATTTAACAAAAGCCTGCGTTTGCTTTGGATCGGGGCTTTTTCTTTGCAAACTGTAAAAACAATATCCTTCGCTAACATTGATTTTAAAAACAGCCAGATATATGGTAATGTGATGATCCCAGTATGCCAATAATACAGTCATTTGCTTCTGTGCCCACACTCTGAAATAAATCATTTTTATCTCATGCAGCGCCTGCCCAGCCACCGCTGAATGTAGAATGGACCCTAATTGGCTCTCAGCTGTCTCTTTACTGGGAGCCTGTGGTGGCAATGGAATCAGAGTCAGAAGTTACAGGATATCAAGTGAGTTTCTTCGCGCTTGATGGTGGCGCGTTTATTAATGCCGCACAATAAGCTGTGAGAACAGAGTCGACTGAAAGGATACATATTTACTTTTCACTTGTTTCCCCTCAGCTTTCATTCTGGAGACAGCGACACAAAGAGGTAAACACGTTCACAACGGCCAATTCGACAGCAGACTTGACCCTCCCTGATAATGAGGACGACTACATCATTCGCATTCAGACGCTGAGTGAGGGAGGACTGGGTCCAGCCTCAGACCCCATACGAATTCATAGGCTGAGTACGTCTTTTTTTTTTTTTTGTTCATGTTTTATTGAGTTAAAAAGGTGAAAGAGGTGTGCTCCCAGTTTTCTTGCTTTTGTAATTTTATGGTACCACTGTGTCTTAGAACCTGTATGTTAAATGTTTCTATGGGCTTTTATGAATGAAATCACTTGACACGTTTCAGTTCTGACAGGGACATTTTGTCCTCCGTTAATGCAACAGTATTAATGTCCCTTGCCACCCTAATTTGGCTCTACTGGGCTCATGTTTTGCTGAAATATGCAGCGCCATCCATCTTTGTCTGCAGCCCTCTTTTTACTAGGAGCTATTACTGTCTTGTGGAGCTCCAGGGGGGCTCGTTTTCCCCTCTAAATGCTACTTTACATTGTTGGACGTTCTGTGCCGAATCCCTTAAAAACAACTAATCGGAGGGGAATTTGAGTTTCATGGTGGCTTTTCTTTTAAACAAACACTTTTTTTCCCTTTTTCTTTTAGACACAAAGTAAAAGATGTGTGCAAAACAAATTAGCAGTGAAAACATAAAGCACTGTTTACAAAAAGTAAAATCTCTGAAAGTAGTTAAAGCATCATTTATAATTTCTTTTTTCCTCTCGGGAAGATTTTTCTGTAGATGTTATTTCATTATAAAGGAGAAGCCAGCAGCACACGACTGTTAATTTAGTCACAAAGGTCATGAAAATGTTGGGATTGCAATCAAACTTAATCAGGTTCCTGGTCCCTTTACACACAATTATAAGGCATGACTGAGTTTTATTACGTTTAAAAGAGGCAGTTTGAATTTCATTGAATTTTCAAAAGGTGGGTGTAAGTAGCATGCAGGAGGATCTCCTATATTGTTTATGTAAAACAATAAGTCATCCTATTAACTTGAATCAATTACATTTTTTTCTAACCTTCAAAAATGACAGTATGCTTTAGTATCTATAATTCACTACTAATAGTTTGTTTACTTCTCAAAATGTTATTGATTCCAATTATTTTTGTGTAGTGTTTAACGGGACCAGTCAAAATTACTTACCATAATTTAATATTAGTAGAGCATACTATTTGATTGCTGAGCAACGTCTGCTTTTGTCGGAGTGAATGTAGGTATGGATTCATTGCCAAAAAGGACAAACTGAAAGAAGGGAGCATTTGCCTTGCATACACAATGTGCAAGACAGAATAGCTACTGGACTTTAGCCATGGGTATTTTTATCATTAGCATGTTTGAAAATTATTGGTGGGCAGCGCTCCACGGATTATTGGCCCCCTTCCAGATGGTGTTGGATTAAAAATAACTAATAAGTATTTTTTAACATGTCTGAAACCAAATCTTTGCTCACATTGTTTCATAACAGGTGTGGACAAGGAGGGAAGGGGTAAGACAGGCAGTCTGAAAGACCTTCTTTAGGGAATTGAAAGGATGGTGAAGAAAAAATTTTCCAAAAAGTTACCCAAGCAAATGTACCAGAGTAAATCCAGCACTGGTGTGTACTCCAGACAAGATTTCCAACATTTCTGAATCCAGGAGCTTTGCTGTGCCCCATTCATCCATCCATCCATTTTCTAACACCCTTGTCCCTCTTGGGGTCGGCAGGGGTGCTGGTGTCTATCTCCAGCTAAAGTTCTGGGAGAGAGGTGGGGTTCACCCTGGACAGATTGCCAGTCTGTCGCAGGGCGTGCGCTAATCAGCCTTTCTGATATCTGATGAAGTTGGCCCCGGGTTAATTTGGCTCTTTTACCAGTTTGACAAAACATACCAAAGCTAGGTATGAATAGATGTGCATGTAAAAGTTAGCAAGAAATGGCTTGAAGTGGAAAAAGTACAAAATGACAACAGATTGAAATGAGCAGCGCCTTCCAAAGTTTTGCTCTCTGCTGTAGAAAATAGTTTCCTTTTTAAACAGCTTTTCACAGCTTTTGTGTTTCCTCTCACTTACTTCTGGAAACATCTCACAGACACTAAAAATATCTGTCCTTGTAAAAGCTTCAAACAGAGGCTGGACCCAAAAATGACACAAAACAAGGAGAAAGTTTAAAGCTTTAGGGGGTTTGTAAAGTACTTCAACTCTTTGCTCCTCTGGAGGAGATATAGGGCAGATTGTTAACCAGACACTTGTACTGGAGCGACAACACGGTGTTGAGTTGTGGAGTTGTAAAGTTTGCTCACTTTAGGTCTAAGTCTACAGAAAATACATTTGCAGACGTGAGCTGGGCATTTATTTTGAAAACATAAACTTTTTCATATTTATTGACCTTGCTCATGTTCATCAATTTGAAAAATAAAAAATGTCAAGATAGTAGTAGTTAGTTGGATCATTTTAGGCAGGCTGGGTGCATGTAGACTTTAGACTTGTAACAGAGAAACTTAATCCACTTCAGGATTTGTAAGTGTTCAAATTGAAAACTAATACCAGTAGCATTTGCTCATAACTATATAAAATAGGAGAAATTCATACAACAATCTTAATTTTCCTTCCAGAGGACAGTGACACGTCTGCAGTATTACTCAATAAATTAGAATATGGTTTCTGATGAGGCTTGTCTTTCAGATTAAAAGTACCTTTTGAAACTTCTAACCTTTAAGCAGGTATTAAACATACTCTTTATTATGCCAACATTTTCTATTTACATTTTTAATGTAATATGGTCATCTTAAATATAGTGTTTTTCTTTGTTGTAAGTGCAAAATTCTCATACTAAACAAGTTTGAAAACACTGATGTTGAAACAATTTATGTTGAATCTAAGTAATCTTTATATTGTGTTTCTTTTTTCTAAACTAACTCACTGAAGTAAATCAGACGTCACAGTAACATTATATTGAATATGGCTGTAATTAATCAGGCATAAACTGGTGGTCTGCTTCGATGACATCAAATAGTCCTTTATATCAATATGTGAAATGTTTGCCATTTACGTTTGCTCTTTTATCCATTAAATTCGAAGTGTTCTTTGAAAATTGCACTATCTTCCCCCGATAATTGCTTTTAATACTTACTTTCTTCGGCAATCCTGAATGTGTCACTGTTGTTTCTCTTGTTTGTCTTCTTAAATGGCTCGAGGGTACTTTGTGTGATATAATTGCAAACACCCGATTGCAACTAATGAAAATGAATTATTAGAAGGGAGGAACAACACCTCATCAATCTTTACAGGGAAAAGCAAGCAGGCTAGAAAGAGTCTGGGAGTTTTACAAACATTCCCTAATACATGTAAAGGTTACCAATGTCAGTGTGGTTGCTTGAGCCTCCTCCCGTCAAGTGGTGCAGCCAGGAATAGTGGTGAGAAAAGACACTGATGGTGTGCTGATAAACTTGTCATTGAAGGGAGATAATGATGAGAGCAAAATGAATGGAAATTCTCAGGAGCGGGAAAGAGGTAAAGTCCAAGTAGTTCAGATTTCATGAACAAAATTCTCATTGACAACCAAGACAGGCTCACTGTCCAATAAAATATACACAAATCAAAAGAAGAAAATTCTCAAGAAAGGGTCAGGCGCAAAAGCCAAAAAAAAAAAACTCACAGAGCATATGCTGCATACCAGAAACAGAGCACAGACATATACATGACACACGAACGGGATCAGAAGGCGAGACCTCTAAGACCAGATGTGGCTTCAGGCAGAGCCGAGACAGAGGCACACGTAATACCTAATCAGAGTTCCTGGAGCTGCATTTTGGTGAGAACAGAATAAAACCTCCACTATCTTTGACTCAAGCAGTTGAAGAGTATTTAACTCAACACTCTTCAACTCAATGAAGAGTGTTGAGTTAAAGTAGAACGACTTGGCAGCATTAACGGTACCCAGTGGTATGCATGATGCGTTCACTTGGAAAATATTTAGTTGTAAGCTTTCAAAGCTGACGATCGACCAGTTCTAATCTCAAGTATGTTTAAATACTTCTAGTCTACTAGTTTCATCAGTATCTAATGAGCTTAGACTTCCATCCCTCTAGATTATTTTTAAATTATAAAAAGATAGCAAGCGTAAAGGATTTCAGTAGCAAAGATGACTTGCATCTCTATGGGGAGATAAAAAATATATCTGTATGAGCCAAGATTGTACTGAGTAATAATACATGTTTGTTGGAGAGAAGATGGAGACAGAGCAGAGAGGAAAAGGACAATGGGGGGGGAAAAATCCAGTGTAGCCAGTGGTGCAGATGTGATGATTGCATTCTGCTGCTATGACATCTTGAATCTTATTGCTGTTACAACTGCAAAGTTACAATGACTCGACTTCATGGGGTATGCCACAGTTTCGGCATCACTCAATGTGCAGAATTCAAAGCTTTGCTAAAGTCTGGTGCTTTGATTAGCTTTTTGTTTAAATTTTGTTCAACACAAACATGTCTCAAGCCAAATGTTTTCCTAACTGATTTGGACTTATACCTGTCGAAGTCCTGAGGTCTTCTGAGAAATTGTCTAAACCAGAATCAGTCTATTTTAAGTTCAAATGTCCAAGAGCGGTGATTAGCTGGTCTAAAACTCAAAATCTGAAAAGTTAATTGATCATATGCGCTTCCAAGTCACAGTGACACTCTTCAGCGGAGATGCAGTTATTGAGTGAAGGTGAGTCAGAGTTAGATGTTAGAGGACACATTTAATCAAAGAAATTATTTTCGACAACATGTTGAGACATGTTTGTAAGTCATTTTTCAGATAACTGGGAAGCTAGACTGAGAACTTCAAAGCCTCTGTTGTATCGTTTTAAGCTTTCAACTTCGGATGATTATGGAACTTGCTGGATTTCTGAATGTTAGCTGCTCTTTGAAAACTTCTGATTTAAGGGAAGTACTAGCATTGCCTGGAGAGAACACAGAAGCTGCTTTTTTTAGTAGAAGTAGCTTGAATAACTGTGATAATTGCCAATATAAGATCCGATACAGTTTACATTGTCAACTCCTCAATTGTTTGTGTCTTTCTTTCAAAGAGTATAATGGCTAGAAATAATATTATATTTACAAAATATTGTCTCCCTCTCGTGCCGGCAGCTTACTTTAACAACACATTTGTATATTTCAGGTAAGCTATGGACTCAACCTCAACCAAAAATGAAATATAAATTCTCCCTTTAATTTATTAAATAGTAAAACTTTCCATCACATTCAGTGGTGGGTTTTGATATGGGCAGTCATCCAGGGCAGCTTAAGAAAGGGGCCGCAAAAGCAGCAGATTAGAAAAGGAGAATTGGTCTTTTAGTTTCACCCTGTACAAGTCTTCTATTGCTTTTAAGCAAGTAAAGTCAGTGGAGTGTCTACTGAGAATAGACAGAACATTTTGCTTGGTTTCTGCAGGACTTTACTCTATTTATCCAGCTACTGAATTGTTCAGGGGACAATTCATGCAAGAATTGCTATTGGTTATATGTAACATGTTTTCAACTCTGTTGGGATGTTTCAGACTTCCATTATTTTGACTCTAAGTCAGAATTAAAAATAGTGTGTATGTTGGATGTGAGTTTCAGTACTTTTAGTTTTCACCATTTGTTTGTTTGTTATTTTTTTTGTTTTTTTGTCTTTGCTGTAGGTATGAGCGCCCGTGGCTCCAACGCCCTGAGTGTGGACACATCCCCGCTCTCCTTGTTCTTCACCATCGCAATATCTACGTTCAGGTCAATGTTGTGACAAGACCTCTCTCTGCTTTGTTTTCCAACATTTTTCTATTGTTTCTAAAAGTAACCATGCTTTTTTTTTTCTCTCTTTACTCTTTGTTTAGAGTTGACAGTTTTATTGTGTTCTACATAAAATATGAGGCAGTGCAATATTGGAGTGTGCTATCAGACAGAATTAATTAACATTATTTGCTTGTCTTTATTTATTTATTTTATTTTAATGTGGGTCTGACATTTTGCCAGTCAGGAACAATACTCCAATTCAGCTCTTTACTTTGACTCTGAAATAACACAGATGCCTTACTTCCATTCATGTGCCAAAGTAGTTTCAGCCTTCTTCTTATTATTAAAAAGATAGCTCCACACTTTTCTCAGCATTCAGTTTCATGCAGTTTACAGCCATTAAGCACTCAGCGTACCTTTTGAGGGGCTCAGTGTGAGATTTTAGTTTTCATCTCTTGAATTTTCTGTGTTCCTCTTCATCCGATCGCCTGAACATGTTCATTCACACATATGCTTGTGCCTTTGAAGTTTCTTGCAATGGCCCCAATTATAGATACATCCAGCAGCCTGTTTTTATAAGTACATGCGCCATTAAAAATGGATTGTGTTCCAGATTACGGTCATAAAACATCTCATTCTGTTCAGTATTTACCTTATCATTATCGCTTAACTGTGGAAAAATTGAATGTAGACTCCTTAAGGTTTTAATGCCTGAAGAAAAATAAAACTAAAATCTGTACTTGACTTGGTATCAAGAAACATGTTCCTGCAAACAGCAGTAGGAGTAATGCTGCGTAGCACATGTGCCAATTTGTTCTTATTTCTTTCTTTTTTTCCCCAAGTTCTTAGGTAACAACAGAAGTCTCAAATATTTTCTTCCAAGTCGTTTGTTTGAAGTCAAAATTTGTTCTAAAGAATTTATTCTCTTTTGCTGTTAAATACGTGACATTTTTTGTATTTCACGTCCATTTTATTGGAAAGAATGAAACAAATGCTGTATGAAACAGGCATGTTTCAGAACACAGCTCTTCGGCTTCAGGGGAAAACCCCTGAGCCAAAACCTCAATGAAAATTTAGAGAAATTGGCATTTACTTCAATCTATACAGTGAAGAAACTGATGAGTGAAAAGGTGTTAAAAAAAGGTTAATAGAAGAGTAAAGGCTTTCGAGAAGCCTGACTCTGAATATCTTTGTTTTGGCTAAATTTTACAGGATATATGGACTATAGATAAAAGGACGGCTGATTTTAAACACGCATAAAACACACTGTTGTGGATATCCAGGGTTTGGAGCGATAACCATTCTCTATCCTAACCTAACAAGCTCTGGAGGGATGTTGAAATGGCATATAATACCTAATTTCACATTTTCTAAATGAAGCATTTGCCTATCTACCTTAAAAATTAAGTAAGACAAAGCTCTAATGTCAACAGATAGGGGTAGATTGCCGTTATTTTGCTCAGATTTCACAAATATAGACTCAGAAATGTATTGTGCCAACTGTAGATCTCAGTAATAGAAGTCAACACTGGCCACTTTATGAGGTAACCTGTTCAAGTGCTTGTTAACGCAAAACAAATTCCACTCATTTCATGGCAGTAATTTGATGCAGTCTGGTGTCTAGACAAGATGAAGATGACTGGCTGGCTTTAAGCTGCACTCAAGAAATACAATTTTAGTGACTTTGAGTATAGCATGGCTGTCGGTGTACATAGAGCTGGTCTGAGTATCTCATAAACTATTAATCTGCTGGGGTTACCACACATCACCATGTCTTGTGTTTACATAGAATGGTTTGGAGATGGGGTGGATGTCCAGAGAGGAGCAGCTGTAGGGATAAAAATGACCTTTTGGTGTCAGAGAGTTGGACAGAATTGACACACTGGCTTAAAATAGTAGAAGGGCAACAGTGGTTCATGTGAACACCTTTTACAAGGCATGCAGAATACTATCTCCAACACGTCAAACCTTGAATCACAAACCTGATGCTACAGTTTTTGCAGATTGATCCAGTGTGTGACTTCAGCTTGTATGATTCAGACTGCTGCTGCTGCATGTGATGTGACGGTGTGGTACACTCGGACCCCGTTATTACCAATTGACTACCTGAGCAGTGTTGATGACCATATCCAGATGACCAATGCAATTCTAAGGTGTACCCAAAAAGTAGCCAGTTTCTCCACATAAAATTGAGGGGGGCAAAAGTTTGTAGCGTCATATTAACACTTTTAGTTATAAATTCTTAACTTTAAGAATCCATATACATAATATGAAGGAGCAAGGGAATGCATTTAAACTTTTGGCACCAGTAAAGATGGATGTAGTCACAAGGATTCTAACGTTTTAATTTTGAGTGGCCAACCAGTGTATTTCCATGTTTTTAGATGAAAGTTTGCTTGAGCTCAAAAAAAAATATGTTAGAGAAATGTGACATAACTGATGAGATCACAGAACAGCACAGTCCAAGAAGAGTCAGCATTTATATTATTAGATTTATAGTGATAAAAATAGCTTTGTGGCATATAACTGCATCGAAGAACTGCCTAATTAGCTCATCTGAACCTTTTTAACCTGTACATAAATCATACGGCTTAGCTAACTCAGTGGAAGACTGAATTTTAAAACCCCTCAGGGCTTCGGTACTGTTTGACATCAAGAAGCAGCAGTGACAAAGAACCCTCCTACTGTGTTCTTCTCACATCTCCAGCATTTGAGAAAATAATGGAAATAAGTGTCACCATGCAGATGAACTGTCGTCTCCACCACAAAATGACCTAACCCATAAATGATTCCACATTGTAGCTGCTTACACGTCTGTGTTATTATTAGTCCAGTTTTCAAGTGGCGTTACATTTCGGACGCAACAAATTTGGCACATGGGCCTTTTAAAAATGTCTTGTGGTTCATTGATCACCACGGCCACTATTCTATTATTTACTTTGATTCAAAGTTGGGGTTTTTTTGCATCCCGAGCGTTATCTGAGATATTGCGGCTATATCACAGAACGAAATCAAGCAGACTGAGAAGAAGAAGCAAAAAAACAACTTCAGAATTTGTGTGACTTTTCATACCCAGTGGCTACATCCATCTGTTGTACCATCTAGCATTTTCTGTCACCAAAACCGATAATCCGCCGTTCACCTCACATCCACTTCACACCCTCTTCACACCGCCACCAGGCAAGTGGAGGTGAGAAAGGGAGATGGCTTTCAACTTCTTTCTCACTTGTTTTGGTAACAGATCCCTGCATTTACAACAGAGTTAAACGCTGCAAACACAATTTTTTTTAAAAGGCTAAATCGCTGTTGCCATCTGTATGTAAGCAGTTTTCACTGTTTCCTAATATATGGGAATTCAAAATACTTGTGAATAAAATGCGTCATGGCAGCTTCGTCTTAAATGCATACCCCTTGTCAACCAATTTAAAACTCTTAGAACCCTAATCCTTCTAAATTACTTTATCTCACAAACTATATGGTGATAAGTTTTCCTTATTTGAATGTGAGGCCCATTTCTTGCATGCTTTTGTATTTTTTTTCATAGTGGGACTCAAAGTTTTTACACTTTAATTTTACTTGTGTTAATAAATTACATTTTAATTGAAAACTACATATGAAAAAAATAAGCAAGATTTTCAATTAAAAAAACTGTTTTGCTGTTGATTTATAAAAAAACAGATATGTTTTTGGCTTGAATAGTTCGATGACAGGCTAACTCCTTTTTGCACAATTTGCACACAACAATATTCTTTTCCAGCAGCCCACCACATCTTTTTTTATTTTTTATCAAAAATTAAAACTCAGTTGGCCAAGAGCAGAGTTGTATGCTCTAAACCTAAAACTAAAGTTTTGTACACAAAACATATAACATCTTAAGTTCATCTGCAACAACCTCTCATGCACCACCTGTTTCTCTTGACAAATTAGTGGTTTGTATTTCTTACGTAACCTTGTTTAGAACCCAAAGCATTTTTAAAAAAATAGATACCAAATCTGTGCAGTTTCTATCTATAAATTGAGATATGGAGTATTCTGAAATTTCATACAAGTTAATTGCCTGAAATGTTTCTGTTCAATGAAGTTGTGAGGTTTTTTTTTTTTGTTTTGCTTTGTTTTTTTTCTAGCTGGAAGGCTACAGTGAGACATAAATGTCTTACATTGTTTCATTTGACTGAAGTACATTGGAACCTCGTTGAAGTCATTGTTGCTTGACATTTACTTGTTTATTGTGCTGTTAAAATCAATTATTTCATTCTCATTACCACCAAGAAACATTTCAGGCTCCATTTTATTTATTTATTTATTTTATTTAAGCCCTCTGATCACAACATTTCAACATAGCAACATGTATGTTAGAGTACAAATGACTGACGGATTTACAGGAAACCTAACAATTCATTAATTAATATCAAGAGAATATTGGAACAGAACTTTCAGTGTTTCTCTGCTGGGCACCCAGCCGAAGCCAGCTGATATGCATCATCATCATCAGCCATTAAAGTTTGGATGAGACGTTCGAAATGCTGCCAATTGTGCCAGTCTGAAAACTGAAATCTAGCCACCAGCTTCGACGTTATTTGGATAAATCTATGGTCAGCTGTGTTTTAATACTTTGTGAATCCGTTCTTTGTTGTCAGTTGTACTATTGGCCTTTTTTTGTGTGTGTGTGTCGTTTGTGGCGTCACTGTTTGCAAATGTACTTCAGTGAAAAACCACAGCCACCACCACTCAGGTACCCAGACCTGCTTCACTCTATCATGTAAATGCTCCAAGGTGGCAGGAGCGAATAGATCAGAGAGGTATTAGCTCAGAACACAATGGGCTATTTAACAGTCTGACTTGAATTGAAAGCCTGACATGTGCCATGATTTAGCAGACATTAAAACATCTTAATAAATTAGAGCAGGCCTGAGGGGTTTTGTTGGAAAAGGGCATTCGACTAATGGCACTAATGACACCCGCACAAGACTAATATATCAGAATTTAGGGAGGACTAAATCAGGATGGTTCTTTCAAAATGACACCAGAAAAGGTGTGAGCATGAGACAAAAGACAAAGTGTGTGAGCGGGATTGTGTGTCTTATCACCTTAGCCTATGGAGTCAGAGACAAGTGATTTCAAGAGGACCATAGTGGTGTTTAAACCTAAATTCTTCAACCTCTGACAATGCTTGTGGGCACAGAGTAAGTGAAGCATCACGGACATTCACGTAGAATAATACAAGGTCAGTGTCGGGAGCGCGCAATGGATTTGACCCAGTCAGGAGCTGACAGGTCTGCTTTTCTATTAAATGATCGTAGATTACCAGAGCAAGGCGACTAGAGGGAAAATCCACAGAATACAGTAAATGTTGGGTGAATTTTTCTGATTAAACCTTGTTTTTGTTTCCTGAAAATATGTGTAAATGACTCAAACTCCTTTGAAGTCTAAGTCTGGTTAGTTTTTTTGTTGTTTTTTTTCTGTGGCTTTCTGTGAATGACAACCTATGTATGTTTTTTTTTTGTTTGTTTGTTTTTTGTTTTTTTAACCTCTGTGTTTTTATTAAATGAACATACATGCTTACATGGGTACCAAATGCTTTTGGCCGATGTATTGATCAAACAAACTGAAAAAAGGCAACCTTTATGTCTTTGATACATGGAAGCTTTGCCAGCCTCTTTGTTTTGTAATGTATTGGTAAAGTAGACATGATTTGATTTGATTTGGATGTTTTCTTTCTAAATGTTTGATATGGTTCCTAATTGTTCCTGTTTTCTTTTTGTTTCTTCCAAAACCTCTCTGCACAAAGGCCAAGTGTTGTTCGAATATAATAATTAAGATCTGTTGTTTTCCAATATGACAGCGAGTCTCTATTAACTACTAGTACAGCATCCTCCACAATTATCAGTCGATGGGTAGGGAAAAAAAAGTCCAAAATAAGTTCATCTTTTATTGCACTCATATAATCTCATATTAAAATATACTTGTGTCCTCGTCCAGCCTTGTTTGTCACAGACTGAGGTGTATAAACCTGCTTGCTTCCTGGAAGCAAATGTGAGCTACTTGTTATTTTCTGCGAGCAGGAAGTCATAAAATGCTAATTAAAAGTTCTTAAAGACTCTACAACGTAATAAATCAAGTGTACATAAATAAAGTGTTGGGCTCTTAAAAAGTTACACTTTTAATAATGTGTTTAATAACACTTTTAATTGGGAGGAAAAATTAGCTTTTTTGTTGACTTTTCTCTTTTGGTTTCGTTCAATTTAATGTCCTTTTTTTGAGGATTTGGTGCACTCACCATTTTCAGATTGCTATTTCTGTATATTGTAGTTATAGCTAAGGATTTATCATCACACTGCCTCAAAGCTTAATTTCTTGATCAGAAGGAGTAGTTGAAGAATTTAATCACCTGCCATTCAACCATTCTCACAATGCAGCAAATATTTCTTATTTATGTTTGTTTAGAAGATTGAAATCAAAATCTTCTTTTCATGTAGAGGCACCTTGTTTAAGATCACGTGTCTTTTATAATTAGGATCATTGTGAAATCCAGAAAGCATTGGAAAGTAGTTTTATTTGGGATGAAATAATTTTGGAAGGAAAAGCAAACAATAAGTTTTCACCTCTATCCATTTCTTTTCTAGCAGGATGTTTGTTTAATAGCAAAAACATGTTTTCTTGTATTGTTGGGGTGTGGGGGGTTCAGCTTACATTTGAAGTGTAAAGAACTGTAAGATATTTTCCAGTATCTTATGCTACCTTAAGATATTTGTTCTAATTCACAGATGTCTTAAATAATAAAATACCTTACATTCATCCCACAGAAACTTGCAGAAAGACTGCATTAAAAAAAATGTTTTGGTTAGGTTACATTTATATTGCAGATATTGCCAGAGTTGCCTATGATAAAACTATTACTTAGAAATCTAGATTTTTTTTTTTTTTCCTGAGAAAAAACATACTCTGATCAAAAGCTCAAGTCATAATAAATCTCTCAACTGTAGCAAAGGATGAATTTATTTAAGGCTTTTTTTCCCCATGTTTTAAGGACACCACAATGAGTAAATTTTGGTGTCCTATTTCGAATTGTTTCACTCACTCGAAGCTTGAATTTGAAAAATACATGACTTCCACCTTGCAGCGGCTGCTGACTGTGTCCTTTGGTGCACTGTTCCAAAATGTTGCAAGGTTGTCAAACTGATGAAATAGACCACAAATACAAAACATTTTGTGATTTTATAAAGTTTTTCCATGGTTTTTTTTTTCTTTTCTTTTTTTTTTTTTTTTTTGCAATCAGTAAACTTGATTGTAAAGCAGTATGAGATACTTTAAATTTATAATTTGTAAAAAATGGTCAAACTAACTGATGATTGGAGCTCTGGGTAACAACGCTTGGCCTTTTCTTATTTGTGACTCCTCAGTATTTTTATGTCCCAGTGATCTCTGTGAGATCCTCAGACTTTTTCACATTGAAAAGTGAACAGTTAATCTTGATATGCGGAAGATGTGCATGTATGATATTGTTTGGTGCATTTGTGTTTTCTAAACGAGGGACTTAATAAAAGCAGTTCACTGAGGATTTTCTTGGTGGATTTTTTTTTTTTTTTTTTTTTTTTTTTTTTGCTTTTCTATGATTATTCTGTGTGGGATGGGGTCATTTTCAGCATCAGCAGTTTTAGTGTCTTTTACTGCAGGAGGAATTTGAGTAGAGCCTCGGGGTGCCATGGCACCTATAAAATGGATGGTATTATGAAAAAGCTAATAAATGGGGGTAAAAGGCAGCAGTAATATCCTCTTCACTGGATAAGGAAACAGTCCATAAAAGATTTTGCTTGAAACATTAATTGTATTCTTGCACATTATTATTAAGATAATTATCAAAGAAATTTGAGTGTAATTCCACATCCAGTATTTTCAAGATCACCGTCTAAATCTTAAAGTGTCAAGCTTTATGCTTCGCACATCTCTGTCTCTTTCACTAGATCTGGCTTATTTGTGAATTTGTGAACTTCAGAGTTTCCACCAAAACAACAGAATGACATGGAAAGCTGCTGTGATGTATTGATCGGACCACTGTTGAGGAGATGCTTTTAAGATAATAAGAAAGAGAGGACCTTGTGAAGAGATCGATTCGAATGGGAAGTGAAGAAAAGAGAGGTTTCTCCCCACAGATCATTTATAATGAGCTGGTGTGTCAATACTTTGGCTCTTCACATGCTATCGACCGCTGGACCACTACACTGGGCTCTGTGTGGCTGATGTTAACACAAAGAGAGATGAAAGATTTACAATGAGTATTTTCACGTCATAGCGCAACACTGCGAAACGCTTTAAATTCAGATATAGTCAGGACATATTTCATATAGAGATGCTTGTGAATGCATAATTGGTGCATATCGGTTCTCCCAGTGCAGCAACTGCTGTCCCGTGGTTACCACAGATTGAAAATGTCCACACTGCCCCCTCATGGTGGCAGCGCGCTGGTGCGTCGTTCTCTGCCAAGGTGGAGGAGGTGAGGCAATACAGAGAAGATGTTGCTGTGTCTGCAGTGTCGCTGCATTGGATGGATGCACTGCTGACGAGCGCCTGCTCCTGCAGGATTTGTAGCCAGAACCAATTAAGATTCTGAACAGAATTTAGTCCACATTGCAAAAGGCATCTGGAGGTACTCTAAACATCCCATAATGGTGGCTTCTTGTTTGGGTTATTTTTTTAAAATTGCACGAGTACCTCAGCAAATATTCATTGTGGCACACCTTCAGTTGAGCCCACCAGCCACCACTGTACCCCTGGCTCACTGTTTAGAATAATTATCCGTGTTCCTTCTCAGGTTCTTTTTTTTTTATTTGTATTCATTTATTCCGTAATTTAGCCGCCTTTGACCAGTAACTGTGGAAACATTCTGTTATTCACTGTATTAAACTGTGAACATGTGCATCGAAAGTTTTCCCATCTCAGATGCCAGTAGAAGACATGATTAAATTAGCTGTGACTCATGACCCTGTACCTTTCTTATGACGTTCCCCTTTTTACTGGTGTGCTTGTTGCAGGACATTGTGTAAATTTATTTAAGCTTAAATTTAAATAAAAGCCAAGCATTTGTGATTAAAACTGTACAAAACTACAGTGCTATTTATAGATAGATAGATAGATAGATAGATAGATAGATAGATAGATAGATAGATAGATAGATAGATAGATAGATAGATAGATAGATAGATAGATAGATAGATAGATAGATAGATAGATAGATAGGCAGACAGACAGACAGACAGACAGACAGACAGACAGACAGACAGACAGAAATATATATGTACTGTATCAAACAGGGTGATTTTGCATTTAGTTCCTCCACAGACAGAGGGCGCTGTAGTTCCTCTACCGGTCTTCAGCTCGTCTCCGAAGAAAACACTCACAACAACAGGGGCCGCTTCCTTCCTGCGGCACACATGTACACAGCGCTGTTTAGATGATGAAAGCCTCCAAGAAGAAGGAATCCACCAATGCTGGCTCCCTGGACGACAATCCAGACGCCAGCAGAGAGGAGAAAAGTGATCTTTGTCCAGGCTTTAAAGACGTAGACGCCTTCGTTAAAGTGAGTCTGACCGGGACAACGTGGATGAGCCCCTGTTAGCTCAGCTATGTGCTGCTCGTCTCTTCTCGCTTCTTAATGAAATCTCTTAACACGTGACAAACCACCTAAATGTGACGTTTAATCACATTTCCTCGTGGTGCTTGACGTGAGTTTGTTGTAGCTGATACTTCTTGTTAAATATATCTTCGCAGTGTGAGGTCACTTTGAAGTTCACGATTACACTAAATATAAGCACCTATATATCTATGTTCTTTTTACTGGCTGTTTAAATGATCAGGTTTGCTGAACTTTGAAAATAAGAGTACTTAGTAAAAAAAAAAAAGTATTTCATTTCAGATATTTTCTTAGTCGCCACTTTGATGACGTCACAGCTGTTCTTTAGGGTGAGTTTCTCCTCTCTCCTTCTCTCCAGTATGGTTTGGGGTCTGTGTTGTCAGCCACTAAAGCCTCAGCTGGCTTACCTCAAGCAGGAGATGAATATGATTTCTACCGAAGCTTTCCAGGCTTCCAGGAGTTCTGTGAAAGTCAAGGAGACAAGCTTCTGCACTGGTAAGTGTTTGATTATAATTCTTCTTGCTTTTTTCTATAGGACGGCCTTTTCTTTAATTTATTAAGCCTCATGTAAGTCGCACATTCATGCTTTTGCCAGAATCTGTACACACTCTCCTCCATTGTAATTTTTTTTCTAGCTTACATTCATATTCTCCTCAACTTGAATGAACTTGTACGATTAGACTTGTTTTTTTTTTTTTTTTTAAGTTTATGTCAAATATACGCCTATCTGTATAAAAACCAGCCTGGATAACATGAGCTGTTTATCATTTAGCATGAGCCAGATAATGCAGCATCATGGCTGCAGATCTCACATAAGGGACCGGAACAAGCTCACCGGACTGGAGGAGAGGTTTGACTTGGTCGTGGACTCAAATGATGTTATTCTTGAAAGAGCGGTAAGAGTTTTCTCTAGGGCACTGTTTTTAAATTAGAAATCGGAAGACATTTTTGCAAACCAACCGAGCTCCGCTGCGCAACTTTCAGGGGATTCTCCTCGACGAAGCCGACGGGGTAAACAGGAGCCAGAATCCCGTTATGCCTGCCGGGTTTCAGCCTCCAAAAATTGTTGTGTCCAGCTGGAATCGCAAGGTGAGATAACTGACCTATCAGCTTCTCTTACTGATAGGTTTTGACCCAAATCTAGCATTGTGTGTCCTATTCCAAACATCTAATCCAGTGGAGTCAAACTCAAGTTCTCCATCAGAAGTGTCTTCTAGCTCCTAGATATTATTCCAAATCCAATACCCCTGATTCAAATAGCTGAATTACGATAATGTTGACTTTGGTGCCTAACACCTATTTTGTTTTTTGTTGTTGTTTTTTTTTCCAGGGTTTCAGCTCTGGCAGCCGATCGGAGACGTTCCGACTCCTTCACGCCAAGAACGTTGCAAGGCCCCAACTGAAATTCAAGGAGAAAGTTGACAACAGCAATACACCGTTCGTTCCCAAGATTTTCATCAAGCCGAATGCACTGAAGCCACTTCCGTCATGTACGCCGAGCCTTTTTACCCTCATATGCGTCGTGTTGCTTTCCCAACATTTCTGAGCGGATGACTTTTCTCAAACTGCAGATTTCTCAAACAAGCAAATACGCAAAGAGAGGCCAGAGGACCTCGACGTCCCGGCTGCCTTGGCTGACTTTCTCCACCAGCAGAGAACTCAGGAACATGTCGAAGACATGTAAGGCTTGTGCTGTTGTGTAACGTGAACATTGTTGTGCTTTGTCTCTTTGTTAAAGTAACGGTTTGGCTTTATGTAGGTTTGCGCATCCATACCAGTCTGAACTGGACCATCTCACCTTACCAGAAAGTTTACTGTCCAAGCCGGAGCCTCAGGTAACACAGTCAGATGAAGTCATCATGTGAAATAACCCCAGACCAAGCTGGAGCTTTCTTTGTGCAGCATATTAAGACCCATCTCCAAATTACTGCTGTTGATTAGAGAAAGTTGTTTATGGGTAAAGTTCAGTTCACTTTCTATAGAGTCTAATTTTCTGAAATGGTTGTTTTTAGTTACTCAGATGACATTCCTTTTTTTTGGGGGGGGGGGGTTTAATTTGGAGTGGTTGACTTCATTTTTATCAAACCAAACCTTTTCTATTGCTGTTGTAAACTCCAGTCCTCTAAGTTCGCTAAAATAATATTTGGGTTCTAATTTTCTTGTTTCTGTCGCACTTGGTCCATTTTAAGCACCTTTGCTTAAAATTTACTTAATGGGTTTTACAAGTTTTGACTCTGTAAAGTTATAAGAGTGGAAATGTTCTACTTTTCAGTGAAGGAAAAAAAATGGAAAGTCTTTGTCCTGAAAGCTTGTGCTGAAGCTTTGTCAACATTCTTGGGGTAAACTTTTTTCTACCGAGCTTAGGATCTATGGACTCTTGAGGTGTTTTTTTTTAAGCAGCTATTAACCCATCTTTGTAAATATGTATTATTTAATCAATTGCAACTACTGTCTTTTCATTATTTAGTATAGCACAGTGACTTCTTGTGGATTTAGCTGCATATCTTTACTGAACACTGATGTTTTATCTACTTCTGTGTTGCAGATGTACAAGCCGATGGCCGAGACAAAGCTTTCCTTTGTTGACTCACTGGAGGACCTGGTCGCGCTGAATGAGAAGCTGTGCCAATTATCTGAATTTGCAGTAGATCTCGAGGTATGCAGATGATTTTTAATTCAAATCAAAATATTACTATGTTATTAGGTCTTGTGTGATTAAGGCTTTTAGAGGTTTTTTTTTCTGTTTCTTTTTTTATCTTTTGAACATTTTATTGTTTTGTTCTCCACCGCAGCACCATTCCTACCGGAGCTTCCTCGGCATCACCTGCCTGATGCAGATTTCCACCAGAGAAGAGGACTTCATCATCGACACTCTGGAGCTCCGCAGCGAAATGCACATTCTGAACGAGGCGTTCACTGACCCGACTATCGTAAAAGTAAAGAAACGACTCCATGAATGAGTTCTGCTGTATGCTGCCTGAAAGTATACATTTTTATTTTATTTTTACTTTATGACAAAGTTGGTTTAGTTACAGCCGCTTCTTACTCTTTGAGGTTTTATTTCTCGGTATAGTTTATAGAGAGTTTATCATAGAGGGTTATATACTGCATCAGCATATTGTTGAGAAATTGCATTGACCCCTGCCGGTCTGTCTGTTTGGAGCTGTGGGATTTCATATTTTATTTGAAAGAAGGATTAGCAAAAAGCTCAAGCTTTCAATTATGTTTTTAGCATATTTGTGAACCACAAAAATACATTTTTGTCTCTGGTGGTTAAGTCCAGATGTAGTTTTCTGCATTTACTTTCTGGTGTTTTGAGTTCTAAATGCTGACAGCTTTCTTGGAGGAATGCTTTTAAATATTTTGGTATGTTTTATGCCAGGCCAGCTCAACAACCTGAGCAAACTGGCCTCTACCCAGACGGAGTCTTTTGTCGCTGTGAGAAATCACTTTGACTAATCATTTTTGCAATATTAAAACCAAAGTGAAACAGATCATCTTTCTAATCTTCCCAAGCTGAAAGAACAGTCTGAAGTTGTAATTGACATTATTTTAAATATAAAGCGCTGACTTTGTGTGACGCTCTCTGTGAGAGCAATCTTATTCAGACAAAGTTGGATGAAGTTGGCAGGTGTCTTGTGATGTGTGGGAGCCAACATGATTCACACTCAGTGGGGGACACCTTTGGAAACTGTGTGCTGCGTGGGCTCATACTGCCAGCTGAATTGCCAAAAAGGATCCAAATGGAAAATTCATCATGTAGTCTTTTCTTTCTCTTTTTTTTAACTATTCAGAATGTACTTTCTTTCTTTTTTTTTCCAGGTTTTTCACGGTGCTGATTCTGACATTGAGTGGCTCCAGAGGGACTTTGGCTTGTATGTTGTCAACCTTTTTGACACCCATCAGGCGAGTCGAGCCCTGAACCTGGCCAGACATTCTCTGGACCATTTGCTGAAAAACTTCTGCAACGTGAACTCGGACAAACGCTACCAGCTGGCTGACTGGAGGATTCGGTGCGTTGACAGCTGGAACCAATTATCTATTTGAAGTTTAGTTTGTTTGTTTTTAAACCTAAGACATTATTACATCATTTAGATGCTTCCCTGTGATTCAAATTTATATTCAGTCGGACTGAATATAAATCATTTCAGATTTTCACTTGGATACATGAACAAGTGTGAATACTGTTGCTCTGCATTTCAAGTTGGAGATTTCACACTTTTCTCCTTTAATAATACTTAAAGAAACATGGAAGGAAGTTAAATGTACATTATGTTGCAGCCCCTTGCCAGAAGAGATGATCGAATATGCTCGAGCGGACACGCACTATCTCCTCTACATCTACGACTGCGTGCGGGCGCAGCTGTTGGAGTCGAACCACGGCCAGCCGGGCCTGTTGCAGTGCGTCTGGAACAAAAGCAAAGACGTTTCGCTGAAGGTTTGCTTTAATGATTTAGATGCTTTCCTGGTGCATTTGCATCGGAAGCGTCACCAGCATGTGATGAGAGTTCAGTATATAATTATTTAATAACTCAGTGGAGGCGTGAGTAACAGCGAGCATTAAGAGAAACAACGCAGATGACTAATTGGTATTCTCATTAGTATTTTTAAATGTAAATTACAAACGTCTCTTCTTTTATTTTTTTGTGCCGTGATGTTCTTCAATACCTCCTGTCACATTTCGCCGTGCCGACCTCCTCTCCTTCTACCGACAGAAATACGTGAAGCCGATCTTCACCGAGGAGTCGTATTTAGAGCTGCAGAGGAAGCAGAAAAGGTCTTTTAACACCCAGCAGCTCACCACATTCAGGCTGCTGTACGCCTGGAGAGACAAGCTGGCCAGGCAGGAAGATGAAAGCACCGGGTAGGTTGTGTGAATTCATTGGACCCACTGTTCTAGAAATGTCCCGGATCCATTTTTATATGTGAATCTACTTATTTGAGCCCAGTTGGTATGACTTTTGTTTTTTGTCACGTTTTAATGGCCGCTTGTTTGCTTTCAGATACGTCCTTCCCACTCATATGATGATCAAAATATCCGAAGAGCTGCCCAAGTAAGACCCACCCCATTTATAAAGCGTTTTAATATGTCATGTGTTTCTCCTTTTTAGTTAGATGAGTTTTCTTTTTGCCATTTATCTCCTCAGAGAGCCGCAGGGCATCATCGCCTGCTGTAACCCCGTCCCGCCGCTGGTGAGGCAGCAGGTCAACGAGCTCCACCTGTTGGTGCAGCAAGGCAGGGAAATGCCGCTCCTGAAGGTGAGGAGAGATTGACAGCGGCGGTTTGAGCTGCCACTCACGGCGCAGCCGGCGAGCCAGCGCCACTTCCACATTTAACTTTGGAATTAATCCACTTCATTCTCACAGGCTGAGATGGCAGCTCAGAAGAAGAAAGGACTCACAACCATCAAAAAGGTTGGCTGAAGACGTTTTGGTGGATGGTGACCAGTTTGGCGTTGGTTGGGTTAATAAATGATTTTCTGTATCCAGGCAGGAGTCCCGCTGTTTGGTCCACATGATACGTCCAGGGGCTCTGAGAGCAGCTACCCTCAGCTCATTGCAGATGGTAAACTTGATTGTTGCACTTTAAAACAAAAAAATCATGAGGGACTATTGTTTTTATGTAATATTTTGTCAATTTTTAGAAGTCCCAGTGAAACAAGGAATGCTGTTCTCAGAGGAGGATAACAAAATGGATGTTGATGAGCAGAAAATAAGCTCCTTGTTGGCTCCAGCCAAAATCTCCTTGTTTCAGGTAAATGCAACACCTTACAAAAAGTGTACATACCCGCTAACATTTCTTTTACAAATAAATAAAAATGTGGCCTGTGCCTTCTGAACCAGAAATTTGTAGAAGTTAACATTTGGGGATTTTTCTGGTTTCTTTTGTTTTCTTTGAGCAAAGTGGCTGAAGCAATACTTTGGGTTTTTCTGTCAGACATAATCAAGCTAAAGAGCATTGCTGTCCATGGTAGTATTATGGCCAAAGCTGAAAGATTTCAGAGAATGAATAGTTTCAGACAGGAGTTGAGCTTATTCAGCTGCTCTGTTTGTAAACCGAGCTACAGTTTTTATTAGAACTCTTCTTTCTTTCTTTCAAAGGAGCTGGAAACTCCTGCTGGCCAAACATCCCTCTCCGTAGCTCAGATGAAAGCCAGGAGTATCATCGAGTCTTTTGAAAATCCTTTCAGAATGGTAAAATACAAGAAAACATCAGGTCTCTGAATTATTTCTGACTTTCATCACACTGTTTTTAATCCTCCTGATCTTTTTCGTTCTTCAAAACGTCAGTATCTGCCCTCCACCGGCGCGCACGTCAACAAAAACGCCAAGTTTGACCCGTCTTCAAAAATATTCGAGGTAATCCGAGCCCCTCGCCTGTGGCTGCTGCGTTTTCTTTTTTTTTTTATTGAGTTGTCATAGGGCTGCTTTGTTACCTGAACAGATCAGCAAGAGATGGAAACTGCAGAGTGCTGAGCAGCAGCAGAAAGAGGTGGAGGTCAAGAAGAAATCAAAGGAAGAAGCAAAACAAAAAGCAAAGAAACTGTCAGGTGAAACAGGATCTAACTAACTCTAAGGTTACTGCTTTTTTGCTGGATTTGTTTCTGAATATTTTTTTTCCACAGAGGAAAGAAGCAAGGCTAAACAGAGCTACCAGGAGTCTCTGCGGAACATCGTCCCTGTTCGCCAACAAGCAGCAGTAAGCCATTCACTCTGCTGTCTTTTCCACTTTACCTGGTAAAAGTTTGATGAGAAAGTTGAGATCCATGTTGCCAGCAAGTCTGGCGCCGCATCATAAGGAGAGCGCTTTAACAGTCAGTTTAACCCCGTGCGGTGGCCTTCATTTTACCCCCACACACACCTGGCTTTCCAGCTCAGGGAACACTGTGACTGACAAGCAGGTGAACTGCAGCTGCCAGCCTGCAGCGGCAGCATAGTTGTTACATTTTTTTAAATATTTGTCTGTCACATTTCATGCCTGGGGAAACTTAAGCGCACAGTGTGGGATTTGCAGCTCCGAAGACATTTTTTATTTATTTTTTTATCCCCTCATTGTGCATTTCTCCCCTACTGAGGAGAAACGGGAGCTTCTTTCTCCTCTGAAGCCGCCCTGCTGTTAGATCGCTCTCTCTCTGAGAGTATTACATGATACCCGCTGAGTTTCTCATAAACAAGCTTTCCTTCATGTTCTGTTTTATCTGCACTCTTCACTTCGTATGAAAGGTGAGCTCGAACAAAAGGAGGTCACGCCCTTTGATTTCCGCGTGTCTTCCTGCCAGCTTTACTGTTTCTCTCCTGCAGGAGGAAAAGCATGCAGGAGGGATAAGGGCCAAAGTTTTTCAGTCTGTAACGATGAGAGAGAGAGAGAAAGAGAGAGAGAAAGTATCCCTGCATGCCGGCTTGTTAGCGCTGTCTGGTGGCATGGATCATAGTCAGAGATGTTGGCAGAAACTCTGCAAAAGTAACAGTCATCCACCTGCCAACTGCAGAGAAATATTGGCTGTGATGTTAGCAAATTGTCACTTTCAGATGGCCCTTTGGCAGCAAATATTTTTTTTTTCTTTTTTTTTTTTTGTCTAATTAGGATTTTGTTTCAAAGGAGTTTTTCCCTTTTTCTGAATAGCATTGTATTAACATTGTCAGATTATAATCGGGGTTCATCACCATTATTTGTTCTGTCTCCAAACAGAATTAAAAAGCATGAAGCGGTTATCTGTATAAACAGAAATCCAGCAGTGAGGTTCTGATGCAACAATTGTACGACTACATAAAGATAATAACTTTTCTAATATGAAAAGAAATTTGTTCAAATCTATTCGTTTTTCTGTTTTAAAAAAATAAATGTATCAGTAGAGATAAATCTGTAACAAGGTTTTTTTGTTTCAGATTTAAGAAGTTGGATTAATAGAGAAAGAGGAAGATAAAGATTTGCCATTTATGTTAGTCTTTTGTTTGCTATTTGATGACCCAAACATCCTTTTTGAGTTGTTTTTTTTTTGTTTTGTTTTGTTTTTTTTGGTATGAATCTCAACTGGATTTGTCGATCTTTGTTCAGGTTGCCAATCCGAGCCTCTCTGCTGTGTGTCCAGCAAAACATGACCTAAATGAATTCAATATGGATTACAAATTATTTTAAATGTTTCAGAAATATCCAAACATATCTAATGTCCTGTTTGTGAACATGGAAAAAATTGTTTGTTCAATTCAAAAGTATATATTAATAGAATCTTGTTTGTTAAGCCCAATATCACATACCTGGTCTCATGAGTTGACTGAACATTTCTAGTGGTCATGTGCAACAATTGCATCATCGATGCAATGATTATAAAGATATCTTGAAAATTAGCTCTGTCTTTTTTTGGCTCATGTTTATTAATTTTTTCAGAAATACTTCCTATTAATAATAATAATAATAATACTAAAAACATTTTTCACTATTGAGAATTTTAGATTTGAAGAATCTAAAACTGTGGACTGAAAAAAGAAGCTTAATTTTTAGACTTCTTTTTTCATCTTTGGAAAATGTTTTTTTTGCTTTTTGTTTTTTTGTTTTTTATCCCTTGTTTGTTAAAGAAAACATCTGGCAAAATAATAATTGAAAATTAGAAAAATATCTGTTTACGAATCCAACGAAGCACCATACTCGCAACATTTATTTTTCAACTCAAGCAGTTGTTAACCTAGACAACGTTGGTGTTTTTTGGAAAACAAACTGAGTTCTTTTACTTGAATTTGTTTCTGACCAATGTTTTTTCAGGATTCAAAAGATGGTGGAAGGAAAAAAGCGAGGGGTGGCAGCGAGGTTGGAGAGATGACTCCCAAACCGAGTAAGAAGCTGATGAAATCAGCGGAGAAATCCCCAAAGACCAACCCTCCTTCTGAAGAAACCTTCAAGCCCTTTGATTATGCTCAGTCAGATCTTAAAGTTTTTGATGGTAGGCTTATCTGATCGTATCTTTTTATTCCTTTGAAAATACCACATCCTAACTTTAATCCAAATTCCGGTGATGCTCAGTATGAACGGAGACAGTATCCTGCTCTGCTTTACAGGCTCCAAAGCTAAGGACAACACGCAGTTTGATCCAAATCGACAAGCCCAGGATTTTAGGAAAAAGGTGCGTTTGTGGTTTGCTTAGCTGTGCAAAGCCTATTTACAAAACTATATAATTTCTTTATGCCTCATGAATTTAACTCTTTTTCCCAGCAGAGATTTCCTCAAGGACAAAAGAAGAACTCTTCAGGAAACAAAAGCATGTCGTACATGAAGGGCAAATCAGAAAGGTAAACATTGAGAACAGTACAGTTTCTTTGTTTCTGCATTTTCAGACATCTCCCATGCTAAATATTCTGTTTAATACCCACAGAGGTTTGCGGCATGCCTGGCCCAAGAGATAGACTCTACATCTTTCCTCATCTTTTTAAATCACCTGGATTACATGCATCTTCCCTTCTTTCTTTTTTTTTTCCTTACCACAAGGGAAACCCAGTTGTTCAGAACTGATCCATTTTTGAAAGTGTTTTTTTTTTCCACCTCTGATACTGCCCTGTAAATATGTGGAAGGACACAAGTCTTTATTAAAGTTGGTTTTAACAGAAAACAGTCTGTGTTTTGAAGTTGTGTGTGAAATTGAATGTGATTGGTCGTTTAAGATTTCAAAAGCCTGGATGTGAAGTATGTATGGCCTATTCCTGTGGAAGTGAAGGGGATGTCACATTTTCAATGCCTGAACAGTTTTATGATTGGAATTATTTTATCTTAAACATATTTTTTTGACATAGCTGTCTAAATTTTAAACTACCATCCTCACTGTGGTTCCCAAGGCGATGAACCATGACTGTTTTGTACTTTTAAAATAGCAAAGTCTTATCAGAAGTAAAATTTTAAAAGAAATTAGATTGTAATGCTTATTCATTTTTTCATATGTATAGCGTTCCAACTAATTATTTTAATGTTGATTTAGACTTTTTCCCCTATGCAAAAGTTGGAACCTTTCACAAAGAAGCCAGAAACTGAGCTTCGGACTGCAGGGTGATTCAGAAATTAAATTCTGTGTTTCTATAAGTCGCTGATCAGTTCTGGGTTCAATTAAACTGGAGATAAGGAAAATGTGTTTTTGGTGATATGTGTTTTACTCAGTCGTGTGCGTAAGCTGTGGACTGCGGCTGAGCACATTGAGAATCTTATTCAATTATCTTGATAGCCATGTCCTCAGAAGAGAGGTGCAACAATAAGATAAACCATGTTTTTTGTTTCACAAATGGATCATATCTGGGAAGTCTGAAACAGCTGACTCAAAAAGCAATTCAAATGTGGGGATTTTAAAAGGACGAGTTGGACAGGTATTCTGATGAGGGTCAATTCCTCCTGTTGTTTGTTGCTGGCTGGACGTAACCTCTGAACCTTCATTACCCTAAACAAATTTGGGTAATGGGGAAAAAATAATAATTATTGGATAAAAATAATTATTGCATAAAGCGTTCCTCTTATTTGTCTGAGAATTCGCTTTTCATTAACTAACACACTAATGCATTGTGCGTATTGTGTGGTCTGAATTATCGTTTTTATTATTGCTTCATATTTGGATTTTAAACCTTGTTCTTTGTTCTTGTGTCCAACTGGAGACAGGCATCATATATTGGCTATAAATGTTACAATGGCCTTACAAAAATTAACCAATGACTGAAATGGACATTTCAGTATTGAAACACTACATAATTTTGTATTAACAGTAAATTACAGCACATATTAAACACAATGTTTGGCGTTTCTCTTTTTTTATTTTATTTTATTTTATTTTATTTTTTGCATTAGAAGTTTTTACAATTGAATATCATCCGTTTTTATGAAATAGTTGCTAAAATGTTCAGTAAATTTCCGTTTAGAACGTGAAAGAACTGGCTCTCCTTGCTGAGCCGAGCCAAAAGAATCGAATCACAGAATACGGTCGGAAGTCCCGTCACTATAACGTGGGGCTCCTCATAGCAGACAGGGCGGCGACCACGGTGCCACGTCAAACAAACTACGCGCTGCCCGGCTGTCACTATTGGTCCTCACAATTCATGTGTCACGTCAACGCAAGCTGATTGGTCGAAATGCAAAGCAGCAAGTTGAGATGTCGGGAAACGGCTTTTGTAGTCGTAAGTTGCTCACGTTGCTGCTCTTCGACTCGCGCTAGTGTTCCTACCTGTGGCCGTGGGCAGCTGTTATGGACCGCATTAAGGATGGCTGGTTCACAGAGTCCTGCGCGATGTGGCCCGGGCAGGCGATGAGTCTGCAGGTGGAGGAGGTTCTCTACCACAAAAAGTCCAAATTTCAAGATGTTATGGTTTTCAAGAGGTGAGTGCTTCAGCTCTCACATCTGTGGCTAATGGCTGTTAGCTCCAGTCAACCAGCACTGATTGGGGGGAAGCATAGCTCGATCCACGTAGCCGTCGATATAGGTTTGAGTTCTCCCACAAATTCATGCACATGAATGATTAAACATGCAGTCTGCTATTAGGCAGCCAGCTTTCAAATGGGACTTTATCTGGTTATCTATTTATTACATGTAATAAAGCCCCCCGTGCCTTATTGCTGCTCTTCCCCTTTCCCAGTAAAACCTATGGAAATGTGTTGGTTCTGGACGGGGTGATCCAGTGTACGGAAAGGGACGAGTTCGCCTATCAAGAAATGATTGCCAACCTTCCTCTGTGCAGCCACCCGGGCCCCAAAAAGGTACCTCCCATCGGCTGCTGTTGTGCAATCCAGAGAACGTGGATTCTGCAATCTGTCACGACAGAAAAAGTCAACCAGCATTTTCGCTTCCGCTCCTGCAGGTGCTGATCATCGGCGGTGGAGACGGTGGCGTGTTGAGGGAAGTGGTGAAGCACCCGCTGGTGGAGTCGGCAGTTCTCTGCGAGATAGATGAGGTGGGGACCAACAGCACTGACTCAAACGAGCATCACTGCTGAACCTCTTCACGTTTTGTCATGCTCTAAAACTGCAATTTAGTAGATCATCACAAAATGAAAGGGGGGGGGGGGGGAGAATCTAACTAGTTAATAGAGTGGGCAAATATTTAATTATATCAGCAACTGTGTGAAAGTATGAGACTTGATGGAGAACATGAGTTATTAGTCAAGCAAGTAGCCAAGAAGCCCATTGAGGGAGCTGCAAAGGTCTACTGTTCAGGTGGAAACGCATGTCAACAAAACATTTGGCAAGAAGAAATTCCTTTAATATTAGGAAATATTTCACAGTCTCTATTACAATCATCCAAAAGTGATTTATGAATGGAGGACATAAAGGCAGTTGGTGTGAGAGAAAAAGCTGAATGAGATGGGGGTTTAGATGGAGACGGGTGACGGGAAAAGTTGCAAGGAACAAAAGAAGAAGCGTTGCAATCATCCAAGAGAGAACAAACTCTGAGAAATCTTCTCATGAGAGCTGACTTTCTCCCCTCTGTAGGATGTCATAGAGGTATCAAAAAAGTACCTCCCAGGAATGGCGAAAGGGTTTTTCAGTCCCAAGATCACCCTCCATATTGGCGACGGCTTCGAATTCATGAAGAAAAACCAGGATGCCTTTGACATCATTATAACCGACTCCTCAGATCCCGTTGGTGAGTGCTGCAAATCCTTCTTTTCTTCATTTTTTCTTTTCTTCCACTTTCTAGGTTCTAGTCTAATTTCAAGTTCGGTGTTTTTTGCGTCACAGGACCTGCAGAGAGTCTGTTCAAGGAGTCCTACTATCAGCTAATGAAAGCAGCTTTGAGAAGCGGCGGCATTCTTTGCTCCCAGGGTAAGTTTAAAATAATGACTGAAGCAAATTTTTGGAACGCCTGACACTTTCAGAAATATTCATACGCCTTGTAATTTTCAGTGTTTTTGAAAAATTCAAGGCATTGTCAGGAAATTTATAATACACCAAATAAACTAGCGCATAATTGGAATAATAATTGGGAAGGTTAGGTTGAGTCAGGAGTTAGAAAATGATTTTTACTTTTTTTTGTTGGTGTTTTGTTTTCCTCTATACGCTTATGACTATGCATGAGCTACGTTGAAAACAAGAACTCACATATATTCATCTCTACATCTTCAGAGCTGGTGAAGGCCAACCTGAATTATTTAGAGATTCATAAAATGATTTCAAAACAATGTATTGTTTTCCTTCCACTTCTCAGTTAGAAGCAGTTTTTTGTTAGTCTGTAACATGCAATCTTAATGAAATACAGTGAAGCAAATTGGGGAATAAAAATAAAAGCTGGAGTACAAGTACTTCTTCATGTAGCCGCCTCTGTTTCCTTTTACTTATTTCTACTTGGCTTTTAGTCAGACCATATCAGAGAGCATATTGTCATGAAGGAAGCTTTTTAGCAGACCACATTCCCTTTAATATTTACAGGCGAGTGTCAATGGCTCCATTTGGAGCTGATAAAGGAGATGCAAACCTTCTGCAAGACGCTTTTCCCCGTGGTGGACTACGCCTACAGCACAATCCCAACGTATCCCAGCGGCCAAATTGGATTTATGCTCTGCAGTAAAAATCCTGTAAGCATCCCTCTCCATTCCTGTTTGTCCTGACTTCCTGATTATTTTTTTTTTTATTGTTGTTTTTATTTTTTTCTTTATGGCTCATTGTCAAACTATTTCTCAACACGTTTCGACGTGACTTGCAGGAGACAAACTTCCGGGAACCAGTGAAAGCTCTCACTAAAGAAGAAATGGAAAGTATGAACCTTAAATATTACAACCCTGATATTCACAAAGCATCCTTCATCCTCCCCGAGTTTGCCAGAAAGGTAAGTTGCAATAATGACTTAGGCGAGAAGTACGGTGCCTTGCAGCTTCTATGTTTTATTGCGATTTCTAGAACAAATCAACAGAAAGTAGGAGGATGATGAATAATTATAAAAAAGGGTTTAAAAATGAAAATCTGTATAAGTTTACATCTTTTTTTATTTTGTCCCCTTGAAGCAACACCTTGGACAACTTTGTCCCCTTAATCTAAAAAAGACTGACGTTCTTCTTTCCTTTCAAAATAGATCCAACTCGCTTAGAAATGCGCTGGGAATTGAACCAGTCTCAATGTGTTTTGATCTGAGTCACTCCATGACAATCTGGGCTGTGTGTTTAATATCAAAGCTCTACCTCTGTCCCAGTTTCACACTACCATGGGAGGTCGGTGCATTCCAGCTGACTAGCTTTAGTGTTTTACATGATGGCCAAAATGTTCAGTAATGAACTCATGTGACCACAGCACATTGTGTGTGCTTGTTTGCTGTGCTCTGGCTCGTGGCAGACAGAACGCAGGTCTGTTTTTGGCAGATCTGACCAGATTTGTGCAGAGCCTGACTAAAAATTCACATGTCAGTAATTCCACCTGAGCTGTGAATTTCTGCAGCTCCTTTAGAGTTACAGTGGGCCTCTTTGCTGCTTTTTTTGATTATTGGCTTCCTCCTTACGTTTTTATAAACCAACATGTACTGGCAGGTTGCAGTTGTCCAACCGCCTTTCCATCTTTTTTTGATTGAACAGTGTATGATGAATTATTAGGGTCATTGTATATGGAAAAAAAATGGCTGCTGATGAGTAAATTTCTACCTAAAAACTACACACATTTACAGAAAAGAC